GAGCTGGATGTTGTGTGTAGGTATTTATTCCACCGAGGTAAAAAGAGACCGGTATCAGATATCTCACTTCGTCCTACCTGGCTAGGTAGATCCTATCAACACGACATGGCAGAACTAGGTAGGTCAGCTTCACATTACCGAACCCCCAGGTCCCGAGTTTGCGGAGCCTTAGATGGCCCCTTGTCCGAGCCTTGAGGGCTAGGTGAGATTCGAAATGCCGTCTATGCGGCTCAGTAGACCCCAGATTTCGATCACCGGGTCGATCGGGCGCCAGAAGAGAATGTATACAAACAAGTTGTCTTGGAAATTTCCTGATGGGGTGTTGTGTTTCACTGTCGTGTGTCTAGAATACCTACTTAGGCAAGGAAATAATATTCTCCACGAATCTCAAAACGTGAAAGTGAGACAAAAAAAAAGCTCGATAGATAACGATGTATGTATTCGCGAGAACTTTTGAGCGGACTATGATGTGGCTGGCGTCAGTACCCACGGCACGAAGGAACTATAAGATGTTCCTTGCCGTTTCGGTCACGAGGCGCTGACGATAATGATCGTGGCTCTAATAGATTCACCTTGAGAATGTGGAGAGAACCGGGAAACCATCTGGGAGGATTTTCTGGATGACTTCTACGCATAAGAGAGAAAGAGGTAAGCACTAAGATGATGACAAGCTTTTGTCGCCATAAGAGGTTTGACGGAGGTTAGTGCATAGGCGATCATTGGGCGGATTCAAGTACGTGTCCGGAGCGGATCGGTAGGGTGTCTGCGTACCTAGATCACCGGTCCGGCCGTGCCTATGAGATGGTGAGTAGCGGTTTGCGGCATTTGCCACTATTGCTGCTAGGTAGGTAACTATTATCCTAACTTCTCCATAAGGCTGTCTCATCGGTAAAGCGGTAGCAACTATCGCTTGGAAATAGAGTAAACCTTCAAGCAGACATCGAATAACCTTTGAAAGTTCCCGTCCGTACTCGGGATCGGCGCAGGGGATGTTTGTAGATCTGTCGGTATAACCATCGCATGTATGTATTCCACTTCTTCAACCCACTGACACATAGGTCCGATGCAGTAAGCACTCCACTAACTATTGTGGCAAGATGCATGCCGGTGGCTGCGAAGGATCGCTAATGATACACTGCAATAAACCGCCTCCATCTAGAGATGGAGATGGTGGCCAGCGCAACGTCTCCGATTAACTGTCAACCACCATTTAATGTGTGGAAACTGTTAAAGATATGCCTAGATAGGTACGTATCGTGAAAGTTGCACCTAGACGAGGCTGCAACTCGGATCGCATGATGGTCTTGCGCACGAATCTCACTGCACAGACTGCGCAGCTGTGCCTAGCTTTTGTTGGTGCTAGAGAAGTTCATCCAAATGTTAGGTAGTACTGTACTAGATATTTCGGTAAGCTGGTAGCTAGCCCTATTGATTCAAGAAATGAGAAAGCCGACAGATTGTGTGGTACTGAACAGATATATGGGGTCTAGCTGAGGTTTTTGGTAGTATAACCTCGTACAAGACGGTGACACTGAAGCTTAATGAGGAGATGATTCCGGCACAGTTTCCAGTTTCTACTGCGCTATAGATAGTTTCTGATGACCATTCAATGACCATTGTCAATAAATGTAATAAGGCTGCATGATGTCTAGGTATGATGTGTGATGTCTTATGAGCTAAAAATATCACTTTCCATTATATATAATGCTACAAGGTTATCTTCACGATAATTATACCTTCTTTGAGATTTATAGAGCAGACAATCGGTGTTGTTTGCTATTCTATGCGATGAGCAAGATTGATTTTCGTCCCCTTTCTGAACCCCTGAAATCACCTTAGCGGGCAATCGACCCCACGGGTTTGCGTCGATGCATACCTACAATTTACAATACTGCGTACGTTTTGAAAGACAAAGAAATACCACATACCTTTTGAGGAGGACCGAAAGTATGCGAATTGTCGTCTCATTATACGACTTGGAAGGGAGATGCATGTTCATATTGCGGTGAAGGATTTCAGTGAATCCTGCCCTCGTCCTAGATCGGCAAGTCTTTAGCATATGGTATGGCGATGTAATGGTGTGGCCCCGGAGTTTAGAACCCGCATCCTGTTTCTCGTCGGCTGTACGTCAGATAGGTTACAATCAGTAGGCTCTTCGGAAGGGTTGTATCAGAAGACTTGTTCTACCAAACCGAGACTAGCATTAGAATCCTGCATCCTACGGATCTTGGAGCTTATCCATACTTTATATATGGATAGGGTTTAGATACTGCATCGCTAAAGAGTCTTTGAGTTTGGGACTCTGTAGAAACAATGTGATATATGATATTGCCAGGTGGAGGAACAGTAATCGTTAACTAAAAGCTCGATAAATAACGCCTAAGACAGTCCGAGACAATACATAAACACGGGTTACCATATCAGTTGTCGGCGCCAATTTCGTAAACATCTATGAAGGCCTAGCTGCGCCATCGGTGTACAGCATACCTAGGTCGTTTCCCTTGAAGAAGACTGGTGTCCTTCGTAATAAGAAGCGGGTTTGTCCATGACTCCATGTGTAAAGGCGCAATACCTAATGCGGTCATCATCTCACCCCTAGTGCGACATTATTAATATCATTACCTAGATACTTAGAGCTCTGATATATGTTTGATGTATCTAGGTGGTATTTAGGTGGTATTAAGTTGTTGATATAGAATTTGATTGACGCTTCACGGATCACCATCTGCGCAACGAACAGTGGCCCTGCACGGGGGGTCGACCTGGACAACCGGTAGGCAACCCAGACAACCTATCATTTATCAGTAAAAACGGTTTAGCATATCACCAACCCTGTCGTTCCTCGCGTGTCATCCCTAGTCATCGCAAGACTAGCACGGAATCACCAACCGGATTCGATTTATTCGAACGAGTTAAAGATGGGATCCTCCACTTCCCACGAGATCCATGGCCTCCACTCTCGATCCCTTGAGCAATATCTAATTCCGCGCGTTCCTGTCCGGCCTCCACTATTCGGCGTTGGGTCTAGCCCCTTGGTGCTTGGTGCCGCCGTCTTTTTTCGGACAACTTGCAAGGCTGTAACCGATTCTAAAGAGTAGACATCTCTGGAATATCGTGTATGCATATATATAGCAAATAAATACCAACAACTCATAATCTGAGACTTTTATGGACTCAATTAACTTACCATTACCATGGTCTGAGAACGAACCCTTGAGAGAATTATCCTTCGGTGGACGTGCGACCTGCTGCTCGCTGCATGTTTACACAATAAATCTCCGAAATTCGAGTTCGAAACACGGATATATCCACCCTCTAACCCGTCTAAGCATATTCATCCAAATTGTAGTAACTTCAACATGTGATTTAAGAATTTCAACAACGTCGAACGTCGCCTTTTGAAATATATGAATAATGGTTGGAAATAGCTATGTTAAGACAACAAAGACAGAAATTATAAAGCCTAAAAAAGGAGATATATATTGACATACTCAACTCCCTACACATTCATGCGGGGTCTTAAGTTTACCTCAATATCCCACCTGCTGCGAAGAATTTAGACCCTGGTTCAGGGGTGCATACCCAAATTTTCTATCATGTACTCCCCCAGCTCCAGCGCTGCTCTCGCATACATACCGCAGTACGTACAAACATGAGCAGGGATCAAGCTAACGACTTAGGTGCATATCTCTAAATTAGCGTTATTTTGGTTCCGGCTCGGATGGGGCGACGCCCAGCTTTTAGTATGGGCTGGTATGGTAGTTTGGAAGGGACGAACTGGAACTGGATGAGATGTACAATGTAGATGTACAGATGTAGAAGATGTAGGGTTGGCAGAGTGGGATGTACCCTGCTTCACAGCCGCGAAACGTTGGTCGTTGCTGACCTAGGTAGACGGTTTGACTTTATTAAACCTTGCCCAGGTGCCGTGCTTCGTAGGTGCGTATCGGCAAACCTTGGGACTAAAAGTAGAACCATCACCAGTACAACATTTTCGATGTTGTTTCTTAGCTCCTAATGTTTTCATACTTCCGCCTCGTCTATGATTTCCTTCTCCAACTTCCGTCCAATTCGTATTGAAGCGAATCTGTATCTGTTTGGCACTTACATACATAGGTGATTGGATTGGGTAATTGGAAGGAACATTGGGTCACCGACAAACATTGTATCCGCCCTTCCGGTTTTGCGACCAACATGTCTTCTTGACAGAATCCGAACTCGATCCAAGCTCCAAGCCCGACTTCCAAGTTCCTTAGAGAATCCGGAAGTGACAGCTACTCGCCTAGTAGTTCGTGGCGTATTTGCTTATTCCTAATCAATAATAGGATCTTAATACGGTACGTTGTTGGTCCATTTTTACTTCTCTGCCGTTTATCGTTTTGCTTTTGCTTTTGCCTATCATCGTCATCTATTCGAAGCTTCCGCGATCTATGAAGCGCGCAGATTCGATGGCGAATATATAACAATCTTGGAAAAACAATTTGCCTACTGATCTGCTCTGTTTACTGCCGTATGTGAACACCCCTAGTCGACAAGGGCTGGTTCGTCTACGAAGCCTCATTCCCATGTTATTAGCGAAATAGGGGAAAACAGCAATATGCGTTACATATCACTTCCAGAGACCCGATGGTCATCGCAATTATCCATTCCATTTTTCTTACACAAATTTCTATCACATCACATGTGGTCACACTGACTGTGTTATACCACATGTCACATCACCACATAGGTATCCCATCTTCTTTCATCTCTTGATGAGTTATCTGCGAAGGTGTCTTGTCATGATGTATGATTTATGAAGTCGCCGACTAGTGTCAAGCTAGGGACAATTCTATTTGTACATACATACATACATATCCTACATACCGACCTACATATCTCCTACATTGCATATCAGCACTTGGCTCGTCAGGTTTCCCAGTCCTTCCGCGGAATGTTTCATCTGCGAGCTCCCATTCGTTCAATTCACCAATGATCTTTTAGCTCTCTCTTCGGCAATCGTTTCGGTGCAATCATCCTAATTACATTCACCGAACCAGATAGAACTTGCAGTTAATGTTCTAGTTTCATCGCAGCTCCAACGTTTCGACGACATTCCTTTAAGTGACTTAATTCTTGCAGACGACGAGTCTGCAGCACTTCGATTCATCCTGTCGCCAGATCCTAACAAGGGCGACCTTCCGGGGTCTGCCGTTACCACAGATATTCCGATTGAGGCTTTCCCTACCCGCGATTCCGCCATGTCGAGCTCATCTTCAGTCGCTATCTCGAGCACCCCGCGACATGTTCGCTCGAGGACTCAAAGCATTTCGAGCGATCGCCCATCTACCGTCGGCCATGGCCTAATGTCGCCTCCCCTCTCCGTAACTCCTGAAGCGGTATTCATAGCTGCTTCTGCTGCCTCGCAAATTGTGACAAATGACCACGATAGCCATTCGGAGTCATGGTACGATGAAATGGGAATTGAGCCTTCGGGAGAAACGGCTTTGGTTTCACAGAGTGCGCTTCAACTCGCCAATAATTTCGTTGACCAGATTCTATTCAACATCATCGGTATTGCGCAATCCACTTCGTTAGCCGCTCTACGACCGGCCGTTAGCGAAGTATTAAAGCCGAAACTTGCCAAGGATGCCATCAACAATGCAGACGAAGAACTTCGAGAATACCTAGGTGGTGGCGAAGTTGAAGATTTATCACAGGCCACAAACACCGAAACACCTCGTGATTGGGATCTTGAACTAATATGGAAGAGAACGAGATTACGATGTATGGTCTACTCTTCCCTTGGCGATATGGAAGAGGAAGATGAGGATTACCACATGGAACAGGAACACCTTAGGGGCGAGTCTGACGATATTATGTCGGATATTGTGTCCCCGGCGGTCGCCATTTTCCTAACCTCGATTCTTGAGTTCATGGGCGAACAGGTTCTTGTCATAGCCGGCCAAGCAGCATTCAACCGGTTGCGCGTGAAATACGAAAAGGAGTTAAAGGAGGGTACTCGAGTACCAGGAGAGTATTTTGATCGTCTTGTCGTTCAAGAGTTGGACATGGAGCGCGTTGCTTTGGATCGGACTCTCGGTAGACTCTGGCGCTCCTGGAAAAAGAGGATTCGGTCGCCATCAGAACCCAACTACTCCCGACCCTTCTCGAGAAGCTCGACTGGTGCCACTCAACGGCGTGGAAGTTCAGCGACAGATCACGTGCAGCCACTTCCTACACCTAGAGACTCCGACCCTGCGCTTGCGGTACAGGAGGAACAAGATGCAGAGGCCGCCAGCGAGGAAGCGAGTTGTACTTCGGAACAGAAGGTGGCAGAGCCGGCCGATGTGCCTTTACCAGACAGCGATGTCGAAGCTACGTATAGCGATGAGGAGGAAAGTGAAGATGAAAGAGAACATGTAATACGCCCTAAGAGTTTGGCTATCTTCTCTCAGTCAACAAAGGCTGCGCTAGCCTCCATTGGGTCCTCGGCCACGCGTACCCCAATCCGGCGTGTACGGTCTCTTCCGTTACGAAAAACGCCCCGATATCCTTCTCCACCGCCGACGAATCGCGAAGTTTACCTTCAGGCATCTAAAGAATCAAGCCAGAGTGATGCGGATTTGATAGAAAAATCAGTATCAGAACCGACAGTTGAAGCTGTCTCCACCAAAGAAGATGAAGATGACAGTGCTCATGCGGATAAATATCCCACGAGGACTAGGGATTCGACAAGGGATACGCCGGAACTACAAGCCGCCTTAAGTAATCTGATGATTCCTGAGGGTCTCGCTGGCGCTTTGCCTGTGATGTCGGCTACGACTAGCAGTGGTACCCCGCAGACTAAGGCTGAAGAGGAGGAAATTGATGAGTTTGCTGAAGAACCTGAGATTCTGACATCGTCACGAATATCTATTGGAGGGAGCATAGGTGGAAGAAGCTCACCCGCCACTTCAGAGTCTGGAAGACCTGCTCCCCTGGTGCATGTGAGATCCAATAGCTCACGGTCAGTGCGCGTTATTGAAGTGCAGAGTCCTCGCAGCCCGACTGCCGGTTCTCGAGGAAGCTCCATAGAGGTACCGGAGTCTGCCATGACTATTCGTAGAGTCTCGACGACTCCTCCAATCGCCGAGGAGAGTGATACGAACGATTCGCCTGCTATCAAGAGGACCAATCTTATCATTCCATCTTCATTTGAGGATTCTCAAGACGCTAGCCTCCCGATAATTCAGCCTCCTCGAAACCCGAGCCCTTTAAGAAGCGTCCATTCACAGTCGTCTCAATTATCAGTACCTACTAAAGTGTCAATTATAAGTGGCCCTGATACCGAAGGATCTTTCGAAGAGAAGCCAGTAACTCCTTTAAGGGCACCGAGAAATCCGCCACTGCCAACGCTGCCGGAGAGAAGTACAAGCCGACCAGTTTATGGGCGATCAGTCTCCAATGGTGCGCCATCTCCGAGGTCTGACCGGCGAGGCTCGCCTGAGTCACCAAAATTCCCGCGTCCTATGCCAAGCGAGTCCCCCTCCTCTACCTCAACCAAATTCAAAGCGGTTCGTACCTCCGAGGACGGCAACTCTCGGCGCTCCGAGGATAAGGCTCGCGACTTTGAGCAGCTTATCCATAGCGGCGAAACTCTGCAATATACCTTGACACCAGAAAATATGCGCGATATTGATGTAAGTAACTACTTTTTCTTTTATCTGTTCCAAGCAGAATCTAATTAGAGAAATAGTCGAGTTCGTCTCAGCATAATGGAAGCCCCAAGCTTTCTAATAGATTCCAAAAGACCGAAGAAACGAGGCTTGCTGAGCGCTCCCGATCTTCGTCCATTAAGAGATCTGCATCGATAACGAAGCAGACCAGCCTAGGTTCCCATCCCCCCACTGACCTGCCCGTTACCGGGAAATACGCACCATCTATCTCGAATTCATCTATATCAAACCAATCCAAAGGTCGATCGGCTGCCGCGCCGCAAGCTAGAGAAGCACGAATCCCTCGGGAGTCTTTGCAGGACTTCGCCGACTTTATTCGGTCTACGGGACCGCCAGGAGAACATAGCGCCAAATATAATCGTGGGAATACGGGTATAGGGAACAAGCTTATGCGCAGTGCCACAGGACCTTCACATGTGGGGAAGAGCGCAAGCGTCGATAGCCGGCAGACCAACCCAAGCATCCGGTCTAACCTCCAAGCAAGAGATGCTTCTATTCACTCCTCGAGTGAAAACTCCGACCTCATAGATTTTATTCGACGTGGACCACCATCCACGAACGGAAACAACCCGCGTATTCCTCGGCATGTTGCCCCCTTCCGGACGACTATGGATTCGGATCAATTGCAGATGAGCGGAGCAGGTGGAGGCCGAGCAGTCGATGCTATAATCCCCAACATTCGAAACAGCGAGACGTCCACAAATTTCACCGAGACATCGGCCCCTTCGTCGATGAATTCCCAAAGCGCGCTTTTAAGTAAGGCAAACAAGATGCAGCAGTTTACAGGCAATAACTTTGACGATGATGATATGGTGCCGAAACGGACAAGACGTAGAGTTCGCGATCCTTACGCTATTGATATTAGCGACGACGAATTTGACGACCTGGACATGACTCCAAAGCCGAAGCCAAAGAAGGAAGAGAGCCTAATCGATTTCCTTAACAGTTACCCTCCCCCTCCCGAGCCGACACCACAGCCTATTGCTATCCCGAAGAAGAAATCTAGTGCACCAAACCTAATAGCTCGTTTGAGGTCAGGCGGTGGTTCCATCAGCAAATCGAATCCTAAGGGGCATAGCAGCACCGATTCCAGATCTCTCAATAGTCGAGCTGGTAACGGTAAGGCTTACACTCCAATTGTCATCCCAGGAGCGGACAAATATGGAAGCGAGCCTAGATCGTCGGCACCAGCACCGGCACCGGTACCCGTACCAATGGGGGCTCGGCCAATGATGGCTGCTGCTCCTTCAGGTCGCGTTCCAATGAAGAAATTCGAACCTAGAGAAGCCGTCTCTAATAATAGCCGCACATCCGACCTGGCCAGTTTCCTACGCGATTCTGAGCCGCCTCCACAACCAGTGGCACGGGTCCCCTCCCCTATTGAGACCAAGAGCAGCGGATTTTCCCGCATGTTTGAACGCCGCAAGAAATCCACGGCGTATTAATGGATCCTACTCACACTCACGTTTACATCTTCATGTATAAATTCTCACATTTCCAACATTTTATTCCCACGAGTCGTGTAGGTACCAAGGACATACCAAAAATCTTTCAGAATTTCTAGAACTAGGACCAAAAACGGGAGGCACGGATAAAATATTCATGACTTTCTCGGCGGGAGAATGTTGACTCGAAAAAATCTAGTCAACATCATCGTCACGAAGATCTTCTTTTTTTCTCACGCATATATCCATCGTCGATATCAGGCAGCTGCCGTCGCTGCCGGTTTCTTTAACTGTCGTTTTCTCGTTCTGAGGGTTGTGTTACTGCTCCTGTTGTTGTTAGGTTGGACCAAGTCGAATGGAGAGGGCTTGGTCGTCCGGTTGATACCACGCGCTATCCTTTTTTTTAAAGAAAAATCTGTTGTTTTGTGTTCGTTACCCCCCGCTCTTGTTGTTGATGGCGATGAGGTTAGATGTGCAGTACGCGCTATGCGGGGCGCGGATTGTGCAGGGGAAATGTGGGAGATGGGGGGGAGATGTGATGATAAAGACCTGGATTTGAGGTCGTGTGTTTGTAGTTCCGAGATACCGTGATATGAACACTGGTTACGTTTTAAGTTGAATATTGGGCTTGCTTGATGTGATGTATTTGATCTTGCCTTGTGACATGGTATTAACAGTTCAGTCATATATGGATGTGGTTAGTATCTGCGGTATAATGCTACGAGCATAGTCACCCATATCACGAAATACTCCCAGAAAGTCCCATAGTTATCTGAAGACAATTCCCCCAAGGTTGTTATTCCGACGAAGAAACTACCTAGTGTGTACATAACGAATATGTACATCCGAGGATGCCTGAAAGTCTAAAAATGTTGATAAAGTACGAAGCAACTCCGTATTTGACCTCCGATAGGTCTGCAATGCAATATGGCCGTCGTCGTGCAAAGAGGTATATGCATGTCGAGCCAGATCGGTGACGAGATGCAAGTGATCGTTTCCTCTCCATCCCCTAGCCCATATCCCCTGCCAGCTCGTGAGCAAAGATGAATGCAATCCTTCCAGTGCCAGTGCCAGTGCCCATGCGAATAAAGCCAAGTGTCTCACCAATGCTCCTCCTGCTAGTGTACTCCAGCGCACAACCATACCCTCATCCACCCTCACAACTCCCCGGGCAGGTAAATCAGCACAGCGCCAACACATCCTCCATCCCGCCTAATCCAGCAAACGCAGGACCTACCCGCGCAGCTTCGCCTTAAGCTTCGACATCCCGCCTTTACCCTTACCCTTACCCTTCCCCTTCCCCTTCCAACCCTTACCCACACCCTTCTCCTCCTCCCAAAAACCCTCACGTCCAGAAACCTGGCTAACACTCTCACTCGGCGAAACAGATCGCGCGTCCTCGTCTTGCTCTCCGCGAACACCGAGTTTCTTGCCCTGACGACGCGCGGCTAGGCCTGATACCGTGTTAAACTCGTCCGCGACCTTCGGGATGGAGACGGAGTGGCGATGTTTTGAGTCGTGGGGCGCGGGGTGGGTGGTTGTGGGGTAGGAGCGGGTATCTTGACGATGGCGACGGCTTTGACGGTCTTGGCTGCCTCGGCGTTCGTGGGAGTATGTTTTGGGTTTGGGGGGATCGATGGACGTCTCTCCCTTCTTACCAGCGGCAGTGTTGGTGGCATCGGCAGCGGCAGCGGCAGCATAACCAGCAGCAGTAGTATCTCGCGAACGACGACGGCCTCCCAAACCCTCCTTCTCAACCTTCTGCTCCGCATGCAGGGAGGCGGGCTCTTTGTTGCGGTGGTGTTCATGCTGACCCGACTGGCGGCGCGAGGCGCGAGGGTCCTTAGACTGCACGTGGACGCCCTGGCGGCCGGGGAGTTCGACGTAGCCGTGGAGGTCGCGGTCGACGGGGGGCGGGGCGTACCACTTGTGCTTGACCTTGCTGCTGCGGCGCTGGGGGGTGGTGGAGCCGGGGTAGTAGTTGGTGTGGTAATGGTGGTGATGGATATGATAGTGATGCTGGTGGGTCACGTGGTAGCGGAGGTGACGACGGGGCCTTTCGTTGTTGGAGTTGGTTGACTCGGTGTTTTCTTTGCCCTGGCTCTGGCTCTTGTTGTCGTGGTCGCCATTGTCCTTGGTGGTGGATGGACCAGCTGCCTCTGCGGCTGCGTTGTAGTCATGGTAGTAGGGCAGCTTGTGTGACTCCGTGAACTTGACCTTCTCGTGCTCGCGTGTCTGTTTACGACCTGAGGCACCATCTGATTGAGGAGGGGTAGGCTCCTGAATGACGATGATGGGGCGAGGAGGGCCCTTAGGAAGGGGAGGACTGGGGTCACGTTCCATGCTCATGCTCTCATGCTCCATGGACAAGGCAGAAGTCGGTCTACGATGACCACCTCGACGATGGTGGCTTACTTCTTCGGAAGATGTAGAAAGAGTACGAACAGTGGCAGGGCGGGGTCGACGTGCGCTACCCGGGGGAGAGTGATGGCAGTGGTACTTATCGTCAGAGTGGTCCGAGTTAATCTTGTTGTCGATCTTGTCGCCTACGGCCTTGAAGCCGGTGCGGGTTTCGTATGGTGAGGCGCTCATGATTATTCTTTCAAAGAACAGTTGATGATAGTCAAGTGGTGATTGTCAAGTAATGATTTACAATGTGGCGGAATTATAGGTAGACGAAAGGTACAGGTAAATTGGAGTGAAGGGTGAAAAAAAGGTGATGAAAGGTGACGAGAAATTTATTTTTTGTGAGGAACGAAATGTTTGTAAAGATCATGTGGTAAACCATACGGCAGTATATATTACAGGCGGGCGCTGTCCTTTCTAGTGAGTCTTGTGGAGATAGTTGCCTAAAAATTAGAGGCTCTCGTCACATCCATTCTACAGAGACGGGGATGTACAGTATGGATGTTCATTAGTGTTTTTTTAAGGTGGGCAGGTAATCAGTTGTATGGTACAAGGGTAGAGGTGTATTTGTCTTTTCTTCTTTCTCATCAAGAATCATCCTGTGCAAACAGATACAATGGCCAGGAAGCTAACTTACATACAATCCTTATACTTTAAGTTGTGTGTTGTTCTGCTGGTTGTATCTTGCAGCCAATACCTCCTCCTTGCTTCTGTCGAGTCCAGCCGTCTTTTGATATCGTTGGCTTAGTGCTTTCTCTTCTGCGGAAAGTTGTGGTGACACATCCTCGATCTTCTCACTTGATCCTACAATTGCTGACTTTGCCTTGCTGAAACCACTCGCGATGGCGCCAAATATCGAGCCTCCCGTACCCTCAGCCTTCTCTCCTGTCTTAGTGGCTACTTCGGAGCCCTTTGCCTTTGCATCCGTAAATGCACCCTTAGCGGCTGCAGCTACACTCCCTGCCTTTTCCTTGCCTTGGCTCAACTTGCCATCGGCGGCATCTGCTTTTCTTTGGTCCTTCTCGACCTGTTCCTGGGCCTCGCTAAACGCCTTAGCCCATAACCTAGAGAGGGCGGCTTCGGCATCCTCGCGAACTTCGTCCCAGTCTTTGCTCTGAGCCCAACGGACAGCACCCTCTACTTCTGAGTTCCATCGATCCTTAGCTTTCTCGGTAAAGTGTGCGCGCTCTGCCGCTGCGACCTCGGACCTCGTGGGCGGCAGTGCTGGCGGTAGTGGATCGATGATGCTTGATAGAAGATATGTCTGTTGCCGAAGGACAGCGGCTTGGTGTTCTCTGCTCCGTTGGTGGGCTAGAACGGTCAGGTAGGCTATGGAGAGGGTAAGAGTTACGCCTCCTGTCTATATATAGCAAAAAATAATTAGAAAATGTCCAAACATAGCTGATATAGTATGTTATAAGAACGTACGAAGCCGGTTGTGAAGCCCATGATGAGCTGTTTGTTGTGCGCACTACGGCGCAAGTACTATTAGATACCAACTAGGGTGGCGTTTCTAAGAAGAGGAGAAATGAGTGTAATATTATCAAGCTCTTCTATAGTTTTATCAGGAGAAAAGAGCTCAATTGCCTCCAAAAGAAGTCGTTAATTATAATGTTAGATCTTCGATCTGAGTTGATGTTCGTCATCAGATGAAAGTCGCGCTACATAGTACAAGTCCAAAGTACCTCCGTACCTTCCCTCAAAAAGCTCAGCTTGGTCCGTGCTTAACCTTAAGCTAGACCCAATTAAAACCCACCATCGTGAAAGTACTTTCGTACCCCTGTCAATATCGAACATCACCAGTTGCTAAATCTCAATCCCACCATAAAATCGAGCAACCGGCCGAATTGAAGGATGGCGGGAGGTCTAGTCAGGTACCGACACTTAAGTCGGAAGTCCTCTCACCGACAGGCGCTATTGCGAAATCTGTTGACGGCCCTCGTCCAGCACGAGCGAATCCACACGACATGGCCTAAGGCCAAGGAAACCCAGCGGTTAGCCGACAAGCTGATCACCATTGCGAAGCGGAACAACGAGACGAGTAGGCGGAAAGCCCAGGGAATATTATATGTAGGCCTTTACCATATATTCTCCGAAAAAGAAACCGGGACTATAACTAACCACCACCAATCCATATAGACCCCCCACAACCTCATGCCCAAACTCTTCGGCGAGCTACGTCTACGATATGCCGATCGCCCGGGCGGATACACGCGGGTGCTACGCACGGAGCCGAAGTCTCGATACGACCAAGGCGCAAGCGCAATTCTCGAGCTCGTCGACGGGCCACGAGACCTACGTTTCGCAATAACCGCCGGCGCCGTAGCGCGAGACCAGAAATTAGGGCGGGAGTCCACGCCACTAACAGAAATGAACCGGAGGAAAGTGACGCGGTACCGGAAGGATGGGCCTGCGGCTTTCGATGAGATGGTGAAGAAGGTTTCGAAGATGAGCTTGGAGAAGAGGACGGTGGATGTGCAGAAGGGGTCGTTCGACTGATGGGAGAGTTTCGGTAGGCACGAAACTAGGGATATTTGAATCCTAAAGGGATATCTGCCGTAGCCTGCTCAAGAGGGGATCAAGTATGATTCTCGGACTGGGCACTACGGGTGTTGTATGAAATATGTACCAATACTACAGCACACACAAATCAAAAAAATCACAATCCACAACTACGTTCACATCCCATATATCCGTGAATACACCAATGTATACCTATCCATCCCCCCTCTAACTAACTACCCTCCCCCATCATATAAAATCAAAAGTATCCCCCCGATCCCTAACCATCTTCGCAACCCTCTTACTCCCAACGACCCTCTCCAGCCTCAAAACATCATACCTCGAAAACAACACCCTCACACTTCCCTGGCCGGGCTCAATCTTCGAATCCAGCTCACTCCTCCCCAAATACCCGCCCACAACCTCCTTATAAAAAACCGGGTTATCAGGCAACCCATACATAACAACCCTCCTCACGCCGCCAATCGCGTACCGGCGGAAATGGTGCGCCCGCTCCGTGTAAAGCAGGACCTGGTGTCTGCCGTTCCGGAAATGCGAGCGTGCCCTCGACGCCTCCGGCACATCGGCGTACTCGCTGATAGCGCCGAAAGTGACGTTAGCGCACGCCGGGTTCGTCGCGAAGTAATTGCGCACGCGGACGAAATCGAGGTACGAGGGCACGAACACAAGGGTGCCGCTAAGGTCCTTCCCGCGTTTCGTGAGCGCCGGCACCACGGCGCTCGTGAAGGACTCGAACCGAGCGTCGGGCTCACCCGCCACGCTCGCCGCCTCGAAGCGCGAGAACGTCTGCTTGGCCTTGACCAAGCCCCCGAGTTCCTCGATCGCACCGCCGTAGGTCTCGGGCTGCACGCGCAGACGGCCGGCCCAGTTCGTGCCGTATCTGCGGTGCAGCTCCGCGAGCTCGGGGGTGTTGAAGGCGGAGAGGAGGACGGTTTGCCGGAAGTGCGGGGCCTGGCTTTCGAGATACCACTCGCGGACGCGGCCGAAGTCGCAGTCGTGGGCCTCGCGCGGTTGCAAATTCAGGTGTTCGAACACGTACTCGACGTGTTCCCAGTTCTGCATGAGTAGGGCGTCGGCCTGGTCGACGATGACGATCTCGATGGAGCTGAGGAAGTCGAAGTCTACTTTCTTCTGCTTCTTGTCTTCTTCGGAGCCGATGGCCATGCGGAGGCCTAAGGGGGAGGCGATGAGGATGTCGGAGTTGTAGAATTGGGAGAAGTATTTGATGGTTTTGCGTGTGAACTTTATGCCGATCCGGAACATGTCGTCATCGTTGCCATCGAATAGCTCTCGGAAGTCTTCCGGTCTGTCTGTTGCGAATTTGGCCTCTTTGTCAAGGTATGATTCGTCGAAGCGTTTCCTGTTTTCCTGTTGCTCTGGTTCGCATAGGGAGCAGATTGTGTTGACCATCTTGACGGCTGAGTTGCGGGTTGGCAATATCATGAGGACTTTTGGCCGTGTAAAACCCTGGTCCCTCGGTTCGAAGCCGCTGTTCTCGCCCTCTTTTGCGAGTTTGGCGTTATTCTTGATAACGCGATCACGAGTTCTATAGCTTGGTTAGCTCAGTAGTTCTTGAATTTTATGAGTTCTTGTTAGGGATCTTACTTGAAGACGTGATTTACGCTGTGGAGACATGCCATTCGTCTCAAGTTCTCGGCATTCTTAGCTGTACGCCCGCAGAATAGAAGATCGTTGTAAGCGAAAGTTAATGGGTAGAGGACCTGTTCCAGTTTGTCGAAAGTTGGTCGTTTTCGATCAATTGTCTCGGCAAGCCTTTGCTTAAGTTTCAAACTCGATGGTCCGGATATAGAGGGTGGAAGTGGTGTTGATTGGGTTAAGTCTTTGCCAGGGAGGTTTCTTATTATCCTCCAGCCATTTTGGTCTGAGTGCGTTTGAGTATATTCATTTGATTGGATAGCCTTAATGAGTTTTGGCAGTCCATCTTGGTTGGGATTGACAAAATGAGTTTCAAATGGATCAGATGAGTCTGGAATATCATCTTCATCATCAGCATCTCCTATTATTTCATCTTCTGGCCCCTCCTCAACTTCCTCCACAAGGTCAATGTCTTGCTCTTCATCCTCATTAACAGCAACAGTCTCCGGTTGCTCAGAATTTGCGCTTGACTTGTTATCCTCGGGGTGATGATCAAGCTTTCTCCTCTTAGCACTAGGAGCGGATGATTCCTTTGATAAACTCTGCATTAAAGCAAAGTAGGGTCTGCTGGGTGCCGGTTCTTCTTGCTCCTCTGGCTCGGACTCTTCATTTTGAGAATCCTCACCTGGTGAAGGCTGTTCCTCTTCCGATACCTCACTGTCTGATTCCCTACCAAAACGTTAGCAATACCGAAACATGAAGGAGTTCAGACGATGAAAGACGAATCTTACTCAATCTCCGCAAGCCTTTGGCTATCGAACTTTCGGCCACCCCTAAAAGGCTTATTTCCTCTTCCTCTTCCACCTCTCCCACCACCTCTACTTCCTCCTCTTCCACCACCTCTGCTTGCTCCTCTTCCTCCCCTTCCTCTAGGAGGACCTCCGCGGCCACCCCCTCTGAATCTGCCTGACATATTATATGTCAGTCAATAATTGAATGAGAAAGGTGAAGAAGTATCTATTATATCAAAAAAGTAGCAGGTGAATTATTTATATAAAAAAGTAAGTCGCGAGTTGAACTTGACCAAAAATTTACAGTATTGACCATCAGCCTTGCAGAAATTCTTGCGCGCAAGCCACTGAGCCCCACCTATCTCTAGCCACACCCCACTAGATCGCCACCTATCCCCTGTCGAACCAAAAATCTTTATCGTTATCTCCTCCACACCCCTGACTCCTCCTTCAGCCTTGCCCACAACCCGCCTAGAACCCCACTACAGAACGTGAAAATTACAACGTCGCCCAAAAAAAAGTTTCGATTGAATCTCAATTTCCGTGAGAGAGTTGGAATCGCGGCGAACGCTCCTTTGTCTCCGAAACGCACCGCAATTCACCCTCTCATCCGCAGAATCGATTATTCGACAGAAAAAACGGAAGAAATCGCAATCATGGCTGCCGATACTGAGCCGTTTCTTCACCTATCGCGTCCCTTGGCGCCGACGATGTTGAACTATCAACATAATATTGCCCCGCTCTCCGTCAACATCCAACCTCAAGTACGATCATCCCCTATACTTCCTAACCCTCCTCTATCCCCCTAGCATACAAACAATATCCGACAAATCAATATCTCACACATAAACTAACCCAAACCCAACAGGCCATCCTCTCCATCCTCGACCATGCCACCCGCCGGGACATGCGCCCGGCGCCGAACTCCTCGTCACGAGTAATCGGCGCCCTAGTCGGAACGCGATCCGAAGATGGCAGCGAAGCCAACGTATCATCCTCCTTCGCGATCCCGCACACGGAGAACGAGGACCAAGTGGAAGTCGACGTCGAGTACCAGAAGAACATGCTCTCGCTGCACCTGCGCGCGCACCCGCGCGAGACGCTGTTGGGATGGTACACGACGAGCCACGAGCTGAACAGTTTCAGCGCGCTGATCCAGAACTTCTTCGCCTCGCCCGAGACCGGAACCTTCCCGCACCCCGCCGTGCACCTCACCGTCTCCGCCGACCCCGGCGCCGACGTCCAGACGCGAGCGTACATCTCGGCCCCCGTAGCCGTGAACGCCGAGCGCGCCTCCGAGTCCTGCCTCTTCATCCAAGTGCCCCACAAGCTAGCCTACAACGACGCCGAGCGCTCCGCCCTCGACCTGATCGGTTCCGCACGAGAAACCGAAGCGCGCTCCGCCCCCGTGATCTCCGACGTGGAGTCTCTCACACGCAGCTTGGAGAACACTCTGGACCTTCTCGACCGAGTATCCGAGTACGTAGGCGGCGTGATCGATGAGGAGCGAGAGCCGAACAACGCATTGGGCCAGTACCTGATGAGCGCGCTGTCGCTAGCGCCGAAGGTGGACCCGGCGAGCATCGAGTCCGACTTCAACAACCACGTGCAGGACGTGCTGATGGTGAGCTACCTCGCGAACAGCATCCGCACCCAGATCGACCTGAGCCAGCGACTGGCCACGGCCGTGCTGGCCTCCGATGGCGATAAGGCCGAGGGTAAGGACGGCGGGGACAAGGACGGCAAGCCGGAGCGCGGCGAGCGTGGTGGGAAGAGGGGTGGTCGCGGTGGACGAGGTGGCCGTGGTGGTGGACAGCAGCGCGAGCCGCGAGAGCCGCGCGAGACGGGCGAGTGAATAGTCGCTATCTACTAAGCGCGTCCCCGTCGAGAAGAAGTCCATTACCAGGGTAGTTAGGTACTAGAGATATGGGGGTTTAACATTATGTATGTCATGGGCAAAGGAAGTGACTAGGCCACCTCCCCAAAGGGTCAAGGCAAAATTCGGGAGAAGTCAGCATTGAGGAACGGTCAGGGGTTAGGGTTAGGGAGGGGGAACGGTAACGTGGATCAAGCCAGCCATTCTAGCCAACGCGTCTCGCGTCTCATCGTTGCTTGCTATCCGTCCGTTTGGTATTGCAAATACATACATACACACATCCAGCACGCGTGGCGAAAGGGGGGCGGGCCTTAAGGACATCCATCGAGTAGTCTAGAGACAAGAAAAACAAAAAGGTCGCAAGCAAAGCAATGCATGTATGTATGTATGTTGTGTGAAGATACGCAATTGAAGGGTATACTAGGCGTTTAATTAAGGGGTTCTTCGGTGTTAGAAAAGAAAAGAAAAGAACGCTATTACGGCAACGAATAACCAGAAGACAACGTCTCTCTTCCCAAAGAAGGGGGCCTAGCTTCAACAATCGTACCTTTCGTGATTTCGCAATATTTATTATACACTCTGCACATATCAATATAATGACAATGTCAATCTCAGGTATAGTCTGATGTAATGTTTAATGCATGTAGTAAAATTGCTCACTTTACTCTACCTTGATATCAGCGAATACTATAACTGCAATCATCATAATCCTAGGCAGCCGGAACCCAGGACCGGTCCACACAGAGTGGAGTTCCTTCTACATCGAATATGTCGGCTACTGATACCTCTGACCTCGATGCTCTTACAAAAAAAGGGGCAAGGAGATCTTTCGTCATTTCCATCAACGTGTCTTAATTTAAACCCAACCGCGCCGTAAACGCCAACCAATGATACCGTAATAGCAGCCCGCCAATTTACGCCGGTGTCGTTGTCTCTCGTGGATGCCCTTTATCCATCCGCCTCGAGTCTTCACCGAAAAGAATAAACACCACCAATGCTTGCTAACTTTTCATGCGTGTATTGCGTTGCGCGAGTCTTTATCTAGATTCCAGTAGGAGGCTTTTGAGGTAGAGTGGCCGGGTTTCCGTATGTGGGTAGGTGGCTAAATGCTTGACCTGGCCCGGTCGGGGGAGGGATGCTTGGCTTGTTCGGCATCTGAGGCGGAGCCTGCGGAAGGTGCGCTGACGGATGTTGGGGGAGATGCTGAGGTGGATGATAAGCCGGTAGAGAGCTGTTTGAGCCCTGTCGGCTCATCCCATAACCTGGCCCGCCAACGTAAGGCTGAGGTGGCGGAGCAGGAGACGCATACCCACTATAGGCTAGGTGGGGTGACCCGACTTGAGGGCTTCCGTGACCGCCCATGGTATAGGGGGGAATGGGAGGCTGAACCTGCATCATCCCATTGCTGGGCACGAACGACTGCGTCTTAGGGTTAAAGGCATGGCGGTTATAGCTCCCGGGAATAGGGTGCTGACTCTTAGGGTCATGCGGGTTGGCGTTCACAGGAAGCTGTCCGAAAGCGTAAGGGATGCCAAGAGCTCCTGCGGCTCCCTGAGCTGCAGGCTGAGGAGCCCGTCCCTGATACGGGCTAGACGAGGGCACTTGGGGAGGGTAACTAGGGGGAGGTTGTTGCCATTGCTGTTGCGGGGGAGTCTGGACTGGTCCGCCGTAAGTAGCCATAGGGCCATTAGAAGGGTTATATCGTGGCGGAGTAGGCTGTGTCTGAGCAGGGTACTTGAGATGAGGTCAGCTCTGCAACTTAATATTTACCGAAACGTTTACTCACTACTGGCATACTCGCATACTGAGGGTATGCGTTGGTTGGTATCATGGTCGGATATGCTTGTGGAGGTGGCGCATACGCCTGAGGCATTTGAGTCTGGTAAGGCTGCTGGACCGGACTATTATATTGCGGGTGTCCAATTGGAACATAATGAGGCGTCCAGTTGGGTTGATGAGGGTTATAGTATGGTTGGTACTGAGAACGAGAGTCGAAACTTTCAGAGTCGTCTCTTCGTTGCTTCCCCGTCTTCCCACGCTTTCCAAGGGTTGACTTGTCCTTTGCGGATACGGAGCTCGCTCTCGAGACTCCATTTGCATCATCAGTTTCTAAAATTTGTTAGTATTTTACAATATGATAATAGGGTATCGGGTAGCGCACCTGGTGTTGATTCTCCCGGTTTATCTGTGCCAAAAATCTTCTCTCGAGCTTTGAAGTAAGCCTCTTCGCGCTCCTCTCTAGTAAGTCTAGCATATTGTTAGCGATGTGGATATATATCTGACCTCTGCATCACGTACTTCTCTTTTGTTTGAGCCCCCTTTTCCTTTCCGTCGCTTCCAACTTCGGAAGTTGCTTTGGATGGGCTAGTACTAGCTCCACCTGACCCACCATCCTCGCCACGCCGCATAATTTTCTTTGGTAAAAGCTGCGGGGGTGTTGTAGTGGTGGTGGTATTGGTGTTTGTTCCCACGATGCTTGCTAAAGATGGCGGCACGCGGCAAAATGGAGTTCGATAAATGCGGACGGAGCCTTGAACCGCCTCAAAAGAGTGTGTCATGTGATAATAGTCAGCAAGCTTATGGGTTAACATCCTGCAGAACGAGTTGTTTGGTGGAAAGTCCATATAAGGTTCCCTATATTATCGTTAGTCCCAAAGAACACATCATTGCAATAGAGGTCAGAAATCGACTCACTTAGAAGATTGGACGAAGTTAATAACTTCCTGCTCCAATCTAAGTAGGAAAATCCTGTCCTTAGGCGATTGCATGGCCTCGAGGAGCTTTTCATCCGGATTCTGGCCGTACATAGAAGTGAATGCATCAGATGATCCATTCACAATGCCTAGCGCCGGAGGTTGCTCAATAGGGGGTGGTTGGCTTGAAATACCACTTTGAGGTGTGACAATGCCCTGATCTGGCGCTTCGGGTAGTAATTGAACGATTCGTCTCTCGGGCATATCGCCGATCCGAAGTCGATGGATACGAGCCACTTCGGAACCTCGAGAAGTCGCAATCAATGAACCTCTTATCGAAAACGCTTCGTCGTCTTCCGCAGATGCTTTTACACTAGCGCTATCGTCTGGGCGCAGAGATTCCTTCTCATCGAGTGCGAACGTAGTTCCCGAAGTAATGCTTTTCCCATCAAGACTAGGCGCCTTAGTACCCATCTCGGAGTTAGAATCCGCCCTCTGCGAAGCGTCATCTGATACGGACGTTGCGTTTTCGTTCTTGCTCTGTGAATCGCCTAATGATGATGAAGAACCATTCACGACGAGGCTGGGCGTGGATGAAGCGCTAGCAGTGGAAAGTGAGGCTTGCTGATCCTTGCCGCTTTGCGCAGGCTTAGTGCTGTTAACCGCCTCGCTACCGGGCGGAGTAACCACTACACCATTTTCCTTTGGGGCAGGGGGGGATTTGGTAGCAGCTGTCGGACTGTGGGCGGGAGTTGATACTATATTCTTGCTTGCTGGGGCAGCATTTGTAGAAGCTGTAGAGGACTGTACGCGGTGGTCCATGGTTGGTACGGCGACTCGGGTAGCCGAAACGATAGGAATATTCTCTTTAGGTTTAGATATGGGTTTAGAAGCAACAACCTATAGTATCATTAGTTATACGTCAATATAAAGAGTAGGCAAGGGGATGATGCGCTAAGCTGCAGTCTCCTCAGCTGGCGCTCTCGAGCAAACATACCTTGGCGAAGGATAATTTTTTAGGGCCAGCAGTCGCTGCTGGTACGGTCGCCATGATTAAGTACGTAGAAATCGCGTTTGATAATAACCAGAATAATCAGGGTGTATCGCTCGTCCTCGATAACGACAGGTAAAAACTTGAGGTTCTCACAAATCCTAAGAACCACGAACGAAGAAAAGCACTTAACGATCGAGATGCCCGATAGCTTCGGTGTAACGACGTCAGGACAGCTGAGAATCAGGAAAGAAAATGGATAAAAGCAGCCCTCAGGGAGTACGAAATACGGCTAATCATTGTCGTGTCGTGATTTGGGTATCTCGAAAATGCGTTATGAAGTTCCTAAGTTCGGAGATTCTTTACTATTTTAAGTTGAGATGGTCGATCGGAGGGATTCTAAACTGTCGACGATAGACTGCAATGAAGATATCGAATGATGATTGTGAAAATGATGGATGCTAGAATAGGGCTGCCGTCAGCAGTGGAAGGAAGGTCGGGGTGGGATGCGGGATAGGAAGGAAACAGGAAGGGAAGGAAACGGGACGGGTAAGCCAGGGCAAGGCCAGATCAGTTATTGGATTGGACGGGAGAGGATTGGTTGACAATGGTCGAGTGGTATATTAGTATGTAGAGAAGTTGGGTTGCACGAACATTGATCGCATGAGAGGTCCTGAAAGTACCGTAATGACCGTAATGCTTAATGGCAATGGCTTTAGCTCTCTCGTACCTAATAAGGACTCGGTCGCAAATATTTGAGATTATGCGCAGGTGGTTCCTATGCCGGTATTTAGGTATAGATATAAGCCACCTTAGGCACCGAATTCCAAGGTTGTTGATTCCCTCGACTAACAAGAGTTAGATGCCCTTAGATGATGGATGTTGGTGATGGTTTTAACAGCGTGACCGAAGAAAAGGCCGATGATATTAGAGGAGAAAAAAAAAGAACGAGGCGGCCGTCGCCTTCTCTTTTTATCCTGCCTAAGGAATTCGCAATCGCATTCAAAACCTTTTTCTTTTTTTCGTCAACGGGCGAATCCGAAAATGTAGTTATCAACGAGATGCGAAGTAAGAAGGAATAAAGTGAGGCATGGACGTTGTATGTAGATTGTTGTAGATAATCGGAAAATCAATTGTGACGGAGAAGTTAAAATCAAGGTTCCAATCCTTCTCCAGCCTACGGCCCTGTCTCGGGTCGATAAACGTGAACATTTAAAAATGGCAGGGCTTTCTTAACAAAACTTGGGGAGGCGCTAGGGTAGTTAGCGAGTTAGCGCCTCAGTTTTAGGTACCTGCCGGTAGGAGCCGTGTCCTCCTCTTTTTAGCACTAGAGGTCACACTTGCTTTAGGTACTGTCTGTACCTAGTACCTACCGCCTAAACCACACCTAAATTGAAAAACGGTCCGTGCATATGGTGCGTTTGTCGAATTCCAGCCAACTAGCGTGGGGCTTATCTGAGTTTCAAGCCCGTGATACCAAATCTCGGTATCCTGTGTGGCTGAATAGATCCGTACACCGCCACAAAATGTTTTAACATGTACCGGTCCATCTGAGGTGCAACCAAAGCAACTTTAAAGCGACAGAGACATAATAAATCAACTTCCAAGTCCGTCGTTTCATAAGATATTAATTATATCTCACCTCATACTGCTATTCTCATCCCTTCTTTGAAACAAAGGCAGTCTGCCTTTACTTTTACTTAATTCGTACTTACATTCTTTTAATCATCCGTATTATAGGAACATACGTGTAAATACTACCAGAGCTACTCTACATCATACATCACCAAGATGTATCGACGGGGTCCGCCTAAATCAACACCCGCGAGTGTCCAATGCCAGAAATGCCTTAAAAAAGATATGTTTCACCTGTCCAATTTCAACTCGGCCCCTGCTAACATTCTCAGCACGTCACTATTCTTACGAATGCAAGGCATCGTCTCAAGATAGGCCATACGTTTCTAGGCCGTCTCGAACTCAGCAACTCTTCAACCCAAAGCTGGTTCCAAAATTAGCCAGCGACGAGCCAAGCATCCTTCAACAAAAGCAGTAAGAATTTTCAGATATTTTTAATTACTTGATTCGTTCAATGTCCAATGTTCAATATTCACTAATCTTTTTATAGGAAAGGTGTAGCCGATGAAGAGCTGGCCAAGAGAGAGGCCGAGAGGGCAAAGAAACGAGAGCTGGAAGATGACGGCTCGGATGACGAATCCCCAAAGCGTAGGAGATCAGCTTCTTATGACTCCGTTTCCTCAATTTCTACGAGGCGGTCAGCTTCGCCACCGCCGCGAGCTCGGCAATCATCTGTGGTTAACCCGGATGTGCCTAAGAGAGGAAACGTAAGCCCTTCGCCCGTTAGACACGCCCCGCGGAGACAGTCCTACAGTTCCGCCAGCGACGATGAGCGACGCTATTCGCCAAGTCCTCAACGGCCAGCTAGGACTGGCAGCCCGTCAGATAGACTAAGCCGGAGATCAAGATCACCGTCACGAGATTCTAGTCCTGCAAGAAGCCGGCACGATGTGAGAGACGAATCGCCTAACCGAAGAATTCCGGACAGTCGTCGCAGAAGGTACTCGTCAAGTCCTAGCAGATCACCACCAGCACATGATCGACGACGATTCCGCTCTAGATCACCGGATGAACCAAGAAGGCGTGGCAGAACGCCTCCACGAAAATACGATGAGGGTGCAGGTCGCAATCCTGCACCGAGGTATACAGATGGCGGACGGAGACGAGGAGGAGCACCGCCGCGACGAGAACAACGGGAACGGAGTCTAAGTCCTTTCTCCAAGAGATTAGCTCTGACACAGGCGATGAACTCGGGTCGTTGAAGTTGAGTAGACCGAGATTGGGTATCATAGTCTTAGGTCTTAAATGAAAACCAATTCTACTTAAGCTTGCACATACATATGTGTTTTAATCCATTTTCGCCAATGCCATCAATCCAACGCCGTAACAATGCAACTGAATTACCATGAGAGCCTCTTATATAGCATCATCCTCATCCCGCTCCCTTCTCTCCTCCTCCTCATCCTCCCTCTCCCTCACCCGCAAACCCTCCACCAACGCAACCCCATCCACCCCCGCCGTCTCCTCGCTCTCCTCCCCATTCCCAACCTGCTTCTCTGTCGTCGTCTTCTTCTTCTTCTCCGCCGCCATCGCCTGAGCATTCGTAATCCGCTCCCTGACCAACTTCGCGATAGCATTATCCGTGCGCACGTTCAGCACCTCCAGCTTCTTATCCAGATCGCGCTTTAGATCCCAATTCGGCTTTTTCGGCTGCAGCTTGAACAAATCAATGCCCTTATCGTCCTTCGCGTCCTCCGCGGCCTTCCGCCTGATCTCCGCTTCGGCGACTGCTGCCTGCTGCTCCAGCGTCGGGCCCTCCATCGTCGCTGTCGGCGGCGCTTCGAACCCGAGCTTGGCCCCCTTGGCCTCGGCGTCGTAGTTGCGGCCGGATAGGTGCAGGCGCGTCACGTCGTTCTCCAACCCGTTGTCATCGTTGTGCTCTAGTTCTGGTTTATCTGTGATTTGTGGGAGGGGTGCGGGAGGCGAGGCCGAGCGCTCTGATTCAGGTGGCGCGATCTCGTCGGCGGGTTGCTTGCGCTTCAGGTTCTTGAGTTTGGCGAGCCGTGCCTTGCGGTCGTCGGCCGCCGCGCTGAGCGTCGCGTGCGACGTCGACATCTTTGCGTTAAGAGTTTGATGTGCTAATTGGTTTATATTCGACAACGAGAGGTAAAGGTCGTCGAAAACTTGAGGAGGAGACGATTTGTTTTGGTTTTATTGCGAAGCTTGGAAAAAAAGACAAGATGAAAGAACGACAGACCTTGAATTGGCGGGTTGGTAGGTGTTTGGGCGTATCGATAAGAGATAACCGCGATAAAGAAATTGAGGGCCACTAAAGTCAACCCCAAAGTTCAACATCTGCGCCGGAACTTTTACTTCTCAATATTCACATGTATGTATTATTCGATGTTCCTTGTATATTATTTCCGACTCCGAGATCTTGAACCTGTTACGATTTTATAATTATGCTTCAATAACCTCCGATACTATCGCTGTTTTTCCTTTTCTAGGCGATGTACTCTTACGACTACAAAAATGCCTAGTTGCCAACCGCATATCGATCGAGGCTTTCTATCTCCCTTTGCGATACATCCCCCCCTTAGACAATGTCAACACCATTCATATGCCGCCAATGCATAGCACGTCTTACGAAAGTTCATGCTAGCCAGATTAGACCGAAGTGTTTTCAATTACATACCCAAGCGTTGCCATCGCCGGTACAACAACAGGCATGGGCTTTACCAACGCCAGAAAGACCAGAGTCTTCTATCGAACATGATGGTCCAAGTTACCACCTATCTCAGCCGCCTACTTCACATCCAGGGCCATTTGTATCGCAAATTCCTGGATTTGAGTCAGGTAGGGGACGAGAACCCCGACTGAGGAAATTTCTTCCTCAGCGACACCCTGCAGTTGCAAGGAGTGCCCACATACACAGACCTGTGACTCTCCGGTATCTGAAATTAAAAATACTGAAGTCTCGCGCAAACTTCCGGTTTATTCGTGATGATGTCGCCTACTTGTATGGGTTACCGGATTATGGCGCCCGTCATGCGGTTAACCAACTGGGAAGACTACTTGGTGGGCGTCATTCCGGATTAGAGGCCGGCCAAGAGCTCGATCGATATCATGAATGGAAAATTAATATCCATGAATTATTGAAGGCGGTCAAGGCTGAGCCGCCGACTTCCAATGATAGTGACGGTTCGACCCAGACGAACGTTGAGACGGATGCTACGAAGCAGTCTTGGGAGGCATTCGCCGGTGTGTGGAGCGAACTAAGCAATGAAAGACGCAAGTTAAAATGGCGAGATTATATAGCCTCCTTGTTTCGCTCAACTCCGGACCAGGCGATAAGTTTTATGCATAAGACCTTCCGACCTGAATGGTGTTTAAACTATGTCGTGGAAGACTCAGTCTATCTCATTCTGTGGAGTTTAAAGGGCGCCGAAGATCGTATGAAAAGGGGCAAACAAATAGTAGACCTCCTCTTCTTTTTACTTCAGAACGCGCCCCCCAAATATTTAGTTCTAGATCAATGGTCGATCTGGCAGGCAGTATCTTTGATACCTGTGTCCAGGTTGTTCGAGTTCTACCAGATTCTAAGGAGGCTCGAACATCCGCTTCGCCAGAACACGTTGCTGCATTTTGCAAGGCGTTTGGCTGTCAAATCTAAATATAAGGCACAGGCCACCGATATCCTACGTTTCCTTTCAACCATGCCTGGATTCGATATCAATGCGCCAGCGCCTTCCAGTGTCTGCACCACACTCTTCACTATGAAGGAAGATGACGTGGTTACAAATGATGATGCTGCGCCCGACGAGTTATTTAAAACGCTACTTGACGTCGGATTCCGTCCAAGTCTATTCGGTCTATCTGCGCTCATGCGTAATTTCTGCCTTCGAGGGCGGATCGATGTGGCGTGGAGAATATTCAACAGCTTGCTTGAAGCTGGCATCGAACCGGACGCCCATGTCTTTTCGATACTTCTTAATGGAGCAAAAACAAACTTGGATAGAGAATCTGTTCAACGTGACATCAACATGATCGAGGCTACACAAGGTTGGACTCAAGTCCTTCTAAATGACCTTTTAGATTATATTTACCAATTCGCCGAGTCACAAGAAGAGAAGAGGCGGGCTCAACGTGAAAGACTGAACATAAAGGCGTATCGGCTAATGATCCAGCTATATTCAAAGTTCTTCCACTACGCGCCGTTGAAAAAGCTCGTTGATGTTCCACTGGGGTTTTATGATTGGGGTTTAGACGACCCAATACACCCACATTTACAAGAAGTTACTCGGATGATTTCCAATTTGCGACAACTACCAGATGATTTGCTCTTGGAGCCGGATAGCATCACCCTCGAAATCATGCTCAGGGCCCGTTTTCGATCCATCAAGGGACCAGATGCCTTGATAATATATTACAGACACTTCATGTCCTCTTTGACCTGGGGCGATCCGGTTTTAACTGCTCTCGTCAAGGACCGGGGCACTGTAATCTATGACATTTTTCTACGAGATTTCTTGCAATTCAAAGAGACTTTCAACAGCGGTGTTGCATTGGTTCAGCGGGTGGCTAGGTACGCAAATTTAGAAAAACAGAAACATGGGAAAAACACATTACATCCGCCGCCGTCAGTCTATACATACACGATATTGATGAACGGCTATAGAAACCACAAGAAATACGAAGGGGTAATTAGGACGCTTAACGAGATGATCGAGAAGGATATTACACCCAACATCGTCACTTGGAATGTTGTGATCGGGAGCTTGCTTGACACTGGGTCGATGACACGAGCTGTTAGGGTTATAGAGCATTTAAATCAAATCGACCTGCAACCAAACGATCGCACTATAGAGGAAGTTACACACCTAAGCTTAGGAAAGAGGAAAGAGTTTGCCGATCTCATGGGGCAAGTGGAAAAACATCCTCGAAAAACAGACACGCGCACATTCGTCAAATGGCTTATCCGACTCTGGAGAATGGAAGAGAATGGGCCAAAGGAATCAAAAGAACCCAACATCTCCCAGAAGGATGCTCGCCTAATAAATAGGTTCTACGACAATATCGAGACCGAAAATATACGTTGGAACGCGGGTCTACGCGATCAAGAAGATAAACCTAAGGTCGACGAGAAGCTCGAGGATGGTGGTAAAGACATGGATTTTATCATGTCCGTGAGAAAGAATGCCAAGGAGAACAAGGCTAGTCGTCGAGAGTCAAGAGAATAGCTAGAAGACGGGTCATATATTTCTTCCGATATAGATCATAAATATGCAAATAAATATAAAACTACTCTCTAACTTCAATTAAACAGCCATACATACCCGCACCAAGCCACCTAGCATTCCAATAATGCCTACACCTTCAGAAGCTATCCCAAGCTTAAGGATCATCTTTACTATCAGATGGTCACGCGAGCTAAAGAGAACACCGCTCGTGAACCATGCTTCTACCCAACCCCCCTATTAATCCCAAGATCGGTAAGCAACAGCGACCCAGGCAAATCCATACCGCCGGATCCTCCCACTCGATTCGCCAGAATAAGAGTCTAGAACAACGGGACCGGGCTCGGGTTACACAAGAGAACAAGAAAACGCCCCTGCAACTTGAATCCCTACGTGCGGATTTCGCCCTCAGACGCCAAACACCACTATGGATGTACGCGATAGATATTGGATAGTAATAGCCACATGCACAATTTTACCTATGTAGAATCTCGATACTATACGCTTACACATCTCCAAAATATAACCAGTCCAGCTATCGTAGTGTTTGGTAGGTGTGTAAAGTCCGAAAAATAAGCGAGACGGATCAGGATCAATAAGCATCGATTCCAAGCCCACACATCCACACCTCATAAGCGCCTACCCGAGCAGACCTAGGTAAGCACCAACCAACCCCGGGGCCACCAACCACAAGCTTACTAAAACCACAATCGATTCGCCAACCACACGCCACCCCCTCCCCCAATTAAACCCGCTCCCCCAATAAACTGAGGTAGGGAAATAAAAAAAAAACGGGAAGAAAAAAAAAAGTAAAAAAAAAAGTAATACGGGACAAGATCTGTCTCTGTGTAATCGCAGCGGAGATAAGCCATCGGCGGAGCGGCGATAAAGCGCTTCTCCCTAGCACCTGCATACACACCTAAACCCCTATTCGAAGGGGCGCTAGCACGCAGCTCGGGGTTTCGGGATAAGCCGTCGCGCGAGTGATATGCTGCGACTATCCGGCGATGGATACCTACATGATACATACATACATGATAGGTAGGTACCTAGGTAGTTAGCTAAGGTCAAATGCGGCTTGCCGTCTTCCACTACGTATGTATGTACCTAGGTATGTACAGTATGCATTGTGGAGTATGTAAATAGGGAAATACATAGATGGATACCATTCACCGAAACCCCTACAGCGCACCCAAGTCAACATCTCGTGGGGTACATAAACACACACACACACACACTTACACAACAAGGCTCGTGGTCTAGAAGCCGTCTTAAGCAAAAGCGAGCACGCTATTGGAAGCCCTACGTGGTGGTGTACCGCATGCAGTCACCGGCTTATTCAGTGCCAACCACACACATTACCTCCGTACGTACTATTTAAGTGCTTACATCTGGTTATGTATAATCACCCCGGGCAGCTAAGCACCGTGATGGCGTCACTATACGTAGTAAAACGCCGACGACGATCGGCAAATAGAAACCGTTGTTGAAGAAAAAAAATCATAAAACCATTCGTGAACTAAGTGGGTAATAAGACGACCAGCCCTGCTTTTGTGTTAACTAAGCGCCCAGACGCCCTCGATGATGATGATGATGATGCAATAGGTAGTATGTAGAAGTCGCCCTCGAAGAAATAGCCCAGTTATCTATACAGGGATTTCACATATACATAGATGGTAAATAAATAAAAAATGATAATAATAACAGTAATAAAAAAATCCGTGGTGGGAAAGAGACGGTCTAGAAGCAGTGAACCCATGACCGCCCACTTCGCCGCCTACTCCTTTTCAGCTAGAACACGAGGGTTAGCATAACAGTCCGTAACTCCATCGCCGATGAGACTCTAAAAGTCGTTCGATATAATTGGTGAAAATTAAAACGTGACACTCTCGATAGTGAGGCCACTAGGGTAGGGTCCTGAACCCATTGTCTACTCTGTCTAGGAGGAAGGAGTCGATTGCACTCTATCAATGAATTAGCGTATGCCGTGAGCTGAAATTTTAGACTTGAGGAAATAAGCCTCACCCAATCAACCGAGTTTTGGCCGTTTAGAATAGTGTCTAATGGTAAGTTGTTCATGAAGTCTAAAGAGGAGAAATCAATAGACATGGGGTCGAGTGAGGAAGACGGCGTCATGGGACCTTGTTGCATATCATTGTTTAATAAGATGGCCAGTGAGCCATCCCGTAGCTCAGGCCTCGGAGGTGGCGGTGGCGATCGGTTAGAAGCTGGGTCTTGCATCGAAACCTTCCGGAGAATAGCACCCACAACTCGAGTGGCGTGAGCTGCATCTCTAGAAGTGTGCTTTCTCTCTGCCCACATCTTGTATGACGTTCCTAGGGCCTTGAGTTTCCTCGATCGATCCGCTGGACTGTAATATTGTTAGATAGTGTTCAATGACGATGTTTGATTTTAACGTACCTGCTTGGTAAGTTCTCCGTGAGATCTAGGCATAAGATCATCGCGGCGATTAGGAAGTCGTGAAGGGTAAGGGCCGAAAGCATGTATTTATCCTCATATATCCGACCACCAGGTCTACTCTCCTCTTCGTACTCGGCATGTAGATCTAGAATCCTGAGAGCCGCATCTCCGCATGTGGTCCGTGATCGATCGTATAGAGCGTTGTCCTTTTCCCGGTTAAGGTATGGCCTGTGTAAAACACAAAGACTTTTGAGATACATCATCTCCAGCATGAGACGGTGCATGATGTCGTATGTCTGGTCCGTGAAACTGTACGTACGTATCGGCCTTATCTGCAGAGAAGGGGGAACTTGAGCGTGATACTGATGAATTTCTTCGTCTAGCTTGACAACCTCTTCATATGGGGGAGGGTGTATCGATAATGCGAATCGAATCACTCGGCGTAATAGTCGACATAATTTTGATTTGTAGCTTAGGTACAAAGTAGAAGTGGGCTCCGAAGCTGGTCGTGACGGAGGTAGTGCCACAACGTTCTCGTCGAAGTCGGAATCGAACAGATTACTCGGCGACTCAGTATCACACTCATCGTCACGAATAATTGGGGGCATGCCTAGCTGGAACGAGAATAGGACATCGAAGACCTCGATGAAGAAGAAAGCTCGCCTACGGAGTTCTCCTTCGAAAGGTGTGATATTAGAGAGATACTTTGGGTCTCTATGATACCCCATGCGTTGCGCAAGCCGGGCAGTGAGTCCAAATTTGGCCCATAAGCCAGAATTAATTTCCTTGGCCTTCTGTAGCTCCGAATAGCTATGTAAGAGGAGTGCTTCAATACAGTATGGTTTGGCGGATAAGTAGTCTCCGGATACGAGACATTCAGTTGCTAGCGCGGTCAACCTATCGAGAAATGATGCTTCAGGTTCATCGGCCTCGCCTTTCAAGCGAGTGATTGATGCAGCAACCCATAACATAGAAGCAAGGCAACTTATCCACAGTAGACTAGCAGAAGATGGATCCTCCCAGAAGGCGTCGTACTCTCTTTGGAATTTCGTGGTGTGGATGTACGGAGCTGTTATAAACTTGTGGCGGAAGTAGACTAATATGAGCGCATCTGTCTTGTTCTTTGGCGGTAATCGTGCGACGGCCTGCGAAATAGTTATGGGTGCAAGTTTGCCAAAAATGACATCTGGGTTTTCCGGGCTGTCAAGTTCCGGCGGAGGTGACGGAGTAGGTGGCCCGTCTGTTTCATTTTGAAGTATGCCTTGGATGTCATGGATGCTCTCAAGGATGGAGGCCCAATGAGTTGCACCGACATAATTATGTTCTCCGCCAAGGGTTGTGGGGAGAAGCGGGTTTCCAGACGTCGTCCCCAAACTAGGTGGGGAGCTCAAATCGGAGCGAGTCTCTGTATTTTCTGTTCGTTGATCCGAGCTTGAGGGAGTATCAAGAGCAGGCTCACGGTTGCGATGAGTATAAACTAGGCCGTTGACCATCTCCTCAAGTTTCTGAAGGCGGACCTGAAGGACGGGTCTCGACATAGGCTCATGCCTTAACCGGGTATCCACTTGCGGCCGCACATCCGTGCGCGTCTTGCGAGAGGCACGAGGTGCATACTCGCAGAAGTTGGCCTCACCACTCTTGACGCATCTCTCACATGGCTGTTGGCGGTCGCATTTCACTCTGGAAGACGAAGATGAGCGAAGGATGGGATTGGGATAATATACGATAGGATGAGACGAGACGAGGCGAGAAAAGACGGGATGGAATGGGATGGGATAGGATAGGCAGTATAGTACAACAAAGAAATCGGGTAATTACTCACTTGCGTGTCCGGCATAGCAAACATGAGACGGGAGGACGATTACGCTTCTGAATCTTCCGTTGAAGTCCCTCACTTGGCTGTGCGCGAAAGACACTTGTCTGATAACTTCCGGGCCGAGAGTCCATCGTGGCCCGGGTAAGATTTATTAAAAGACGGCAGTCGAATGAATCTCGGTCGGAAATAACGATAACCTCATCTAAAAAAACAGCTTAAGCCTCAAGCGTTCAGCTTCAAGGCGCAGTGACAAGTCGAAATGAGAGCAGGGAATACTTCCCGTCTCAGCGAGCGCGCGACTGCGATGAGGACTTAAGAATATTCCTGATTGAGAAGAAGTCCGGTAGTACGAAGAACATTGAAAGCCGAAAAGTGAAAAAGCATAAAAAGACTAAAAAATAAAATATTATTATTACCGTACCTACAGAGGGTTCATCGAGCCAGGATGATGGATTGGATACTAAGGTACGAGATATGGGATTGGCTAAAGGTTATGGTCATAATTAACCTTGACTATCCTTGACCGTTCACTTTTTGGTTCTTAGCTTCTTGGGTTCGTGGGTTCTTGCATTCTTTGGATTTATCGGAAACAATGTCATCCGCCTATCCGGGAGGGTGAAAACACACCCAGAGTCCCAGACACCCTAACGCCCTAGGAAACTCCGTTGCGGGTTACGGCCTCCCATTCTTCAGGGCTCTCTATTCCTACTAGCCTGGAGGTATTGTAGGTACCTACTAATCCCTACCACACTTGTTGCATGAGTACACGGTACCTAAATATTGTACATAAGACAATAGATAGTGTGCGGGTAACAGTAACGTCAACATGTACCGATTACCAATAGCACCATCCTTGGCGTTTCCGATTGGGAACTTACGCCCGACGGAGTTTCTTCGGCTGGATTTAAAGATAGGTCCTAAGATAGCTCCCTCATTTCAACTCATAAATCCGTTCTCCTGCTTCAGTGCTTCAACATTCCAATGTTCCTTTCGGGAGTTATTTTTAAACCTACGGCAATATCGACGGCCATACCTCCGGTCTTAACTGATTTGGAATTGCAATATAGATATTCCTTTCTTCTATTAACAGATCGACTTACCCGAACCGATCGAATCTTGACAATCATGCGGCTACTTAACCGATGTTTAATCTGCCACTATAACGCGACCTACTATATCCGTATTTAGTATATTCGGTATAGTTGGTAATATAGTTGGTATTTAGCTGAAAGTGGCGAGTCGTTGACTAACAATTTTCCTCATGGGGGTACTTTTTTACTCTTCGAAACCGGGATATGAATATTAATTTCCAATATCCAATGTTCAATATCATCAAGAATGCAACGCAATCAGTAATCGACTGCTTATCTAGCGCAGTTCAGTATTCTCGAACTCCGCAGCTCTTCAAACTCTTCTATTCCTATCGCTTGCGAGACAGCAAAGAACCGGAACAATCTTACTTGCGTCTTTACCTAACTTGGATCAGGTTGGGCTCTAATCTCCGGTTTCGATCCCTCATCTACGTAACACAACTCGACGCCAGCTGTCTTCCCCTCACCATGGATATTTCTCTTCGCACCTAGGTTTCGTAGCTTACTAGGTTTAAGACGCAAACCCGGGATCAGAATACCTAGGTCCGAAAATCAACGGTAGTTGAAATCGTGCCCGGCAATATTCATTCCGACTATAGCTCTCCTTCTACACCCGGTTCTCCATTCCGAATTTACCGGTCCCCGGCATCTCCGGTAATAATACTATTGGCCCGGACTACTCCAACCGGTGCAGTGGTAGGAGCGTTGATGAATCGTACGAAGGTCCCAACAAGGTGCCAAAGCCAAGATTAGCCCTGGAATTGACTGTATGGTTCGAGAAATGCATCAAGGCGTAGGTCCGACGGCTCTCTTAAATACCCCTTACCACCGTAGCATCCAAGTCTACGACCCCGAAAACTACGGATTTGCCCCAGTAACATCACCGCATAACGTACCTGCACCTCTAAAGCCGAGACATACACCTGAAGACAGAGCGGCAAATAATAGGCTACATATTTGTCATGCATAACGCGGGCTGAAAGGGGGGAGGCGAACCATCTTCGCTGCTACATTTATACGTCGTACAGTTTAGCAATATGAATTATATCACCCTCAGGTCGAATCATCCCACATCGAACGTCGCTTCTCAATCAGACCACCTAAAATTCATCGGTGCCATTTCAATTCGCTCTTCATCGCATTTGGGATATCACTAATTACGCGTTTATCTAGCTCACCATGACCTCCAACATGCAAGTTGGGAATTGGATATTTCTATAGTGCACTTTACTAGTAGCATGCTGCTTAAGTCGCTACCAACTATAGGTTGGTGTAACGACATATCCCCGAAGTTCCATTACCTTCAGGTGTGCCAAGTCTTTTTGGGCTAGCAAACGCCTCTCAAAACCCGGGGCGACAGTTGATTTTATGGCCCTTACCAATTGGATTTCGCGGCTCTTTTTAATTATACCCGGGCACCTACGTTATCAGGAGGACTAGAGGGCATCACTTTGATCTAGTATGTACGGCGGATGTCCGCTATCCATATGATACTTCAGATCAGCCACAAGGCTCTCATCTTCGAATCCCCGCACATTCATTGGCCTTGAGCTTTTGTTGGTGCACCACCTTACGAAAGTTTCCAACAACGGGATCATGTGTTAGAGACCTATACAAATCGGAATGATTTAATAAGAGGTAGCATCCGGGTTTAGGAGAGCCTTGCTTCGGTTATTACTTTTGAAAGTCTTGCCATGGGTCGCGCTCTCTTCTCTTTAGCATGTGCTCACTTATCATATGATACCTGCTTCGACAAACAGAATGCGATTTGATTGGTGCTTGTTTCTTTCCAGTAGATCTCGCCACACCCGCAAAATAAAGCTCAGGATTAAAAAAAGATAAAAAACCGAAACCCAAAAAAACCAAAAAATTGAATGGTCGAGCTCAGCAGGGATCGAACCTGCAATCTTTAGAGGACAGTTATTCAAGAATTGAACCGAAATCTAACGCCTTACCATTAGGCCATGAACCCCGTGTGATGTTGAAAATTCTGAAGTTAGCTTAACCCTTATGGCTAACGAGTGGGTACCGTCTAGGAAGATTGAGCCTCAACTCACCATTGGAAAATTCTCGAAAGTGGGTTCAGGTGCATGAACGAGTCATACCTAATATTTTAATCTGAAGTGAGAATATGTAGAGGTTGATTAAAAATGAAAGAGAGCTAGAGTAACAGCTTACTACGAAGTGAGATATCATTTTTCATACTATTTTACTTCGATAAAACCTGACCAGTCGATTATGCGCATTACCACCATTTCATCTGTATTGCTCAGATATGTATAAACACTATGCCTTTTTCCAAACCCGTATCGTGTAAACTACTCTAAACTCTTCCAAGATTTTGTGCGGAGCAGAAATATTGTAGACGAGGCAGGCCCTTCTCTGTCTAGCTAAGCATACTAATCCACCATACCTAGTTGTGTAGAGGCTGAGGGAATTCCTGACTCTCTTCCCAGTCCGTGAATTGTTGGACTTTTGCGTCCTTAAACTCGGCAATTAATTGGAAATCGGCAAGCTGTAGGAGTCAGCGGGAATATCCATGCCGTAATCCACCAGAGCTACCAATTGAGAGGACCGAATCTAGAGATTGATGATGATGATTATGATGATGATGATGATGATTGAAAGGAGAAGAAGAAGAGAATCTTCTCTAAGCTATGGGATATATATACACGCTGGATATCACATGCCTGATCCTCCACAGCTAGAAGGCTCGAACCCTTCTCACAACGAAGTCACAACCCACGAGAACAGAAGGAGAGAACCGGAGACGCATCCTGATGGGCGGAGCCCATCAACTGTCCGCGGCAAGGAAAAACATCAACGTCCCGGTTGATGGGATGGTAACTCCGCTCGAATGTTCGTTTTCGGTACGACAGCAACGATTTTCGTGGGTGTGTCGGTGTCGGGGGCGGCATGATCCACAACAGGAGCAGGAGCGACGGGACCGGCGACAGCAGGGGCAGGGGCAGGGGCGGTCGACACGGTGTTTAACGTTGTAGTGGAAGTTGGTTCAGGGGCAGCGGGAGGGCCAGTTTCGGTATCGGGGGCAGGGGCAAGCGGTGACTTAAGTCTCAAGTCTTTTAACGGCACAGGGTATGCATGTGAAGGTTCGGGTCATTCATGTGTAAAGCTCGACAGTTCCGAACCACACCCATAGCCCATTCTTTGAACTGACCATGCGCAGACGTGTGTGCTTATTACGACCTAGTATTTTCGTCATCTCGTGGACCGATGTAGCCAGCGGGTATCGTCTCCGAGGCATTGTCCTTCCCGGATCCGGATCGGGTTTAAACTTAGGTAAGTTAGAGAAAAAAGGGCCTGTTCATAACCCGGAGGTCCTCCAACCGAACTGGAGTAGAGCTACAGTAGAGTAGACTACAGCGATATTCCTCGTCTCTGGGACCCGGAACTACAGGCGAGTATTGAAAAGGCAGAGAAGGACCCCTGACGACATTGGGTGTCAAAGGCTTGGTGCTGTTGGATTCGTCTGGCAAAATTAGCCCTATCTCCGAGTTCAAGGAGAGCTTCGTAATCGCACGAACCTTTTCCTCCCGCTCTTCTCAGTGCCTGTGAAACACGTGAAAAGTATTGACTCAATGGCCCATCCTTCTCTTGCTCTATTCTTGTGAGGTCTTCGACTTCGTCTAACTTCGCATCAATGGGGTTGGATGGGTACTTGTCCTTCAGTGCTTGCTCTAGCTTCTTCATATCGTCATTAGTCGCCTCGTCCCCCCCAATTGATGACAACAAGTAATAGGGGCAGCGCAGGGCCAAAGTTTTGATGATACTCCCAAGATGTGTCGTAATTAAAGTATCCTCGCATATGCCAAGCCAACAGTCACCAGCCATTATGCTCGCTGTTTCTGGCCGAGAATCGTTCTCCTTTCATGTCTATTGCGGCCTTCAGGTCGTTCAATTCGTCGACCATATCGCTTCTTTCGGAAGAAGATTCGAATCCTCCAGCTCTCACCAAAACAGACAGTCGTGGGCCTTGGGACCCATGCTTCCAGCGCCAGACAGGGTGTTGGGTCTTGACGGATCTGTGGGACCAGTCGGTTTTTTGACAACGTCTCTACCGGAGATCCAGTTTTCCGGATCATCCATAGGTATCTGTAGCTTCTATTTCGTTCTTCGATGCGAATCTTCGCGGAGGGATATAGCCTCCGTCTTGGATTTCTGGTGTGTATTCTGTCGGAAGTCAGGTATGTAGGAGGACTGGCAACCGGGGGTCTAGCAGGATCGGAACTCAACCCGTTGAGATCCGCGAGAGCTCGTGAAGGATTCTGGGTAGGCGTGTTGGTTGCTAGCCCTGGAGATAGAGTAGATAACGGGCCACAGGCGTATGTATACCACACTCCCTTAGTGACGGTAGGTTACGTAGTAACGTCGTTGTTCCCATGTCTTTTGGTTCCGCCTCGTGACACTTTCACTACTTCGAACAAGGCCAATTCCGCGTCCAGGATGACTTCGGTAACGATATTTCACGCGCCGTGTTTGCGATTCTGTTTCGGCGTTCCTCTAGCAAGCCGTTTTTATGCGTCTTTATTGAAAATATTAGAAACCATCATCCGTTAACCGCGATCTTCTCGGCGAGGGTTTGTGCAAGTTGTGGTACTGTTTTGCTGATAAGATCGTTAATCGCCTCGTACCGTATGTCTCCTTTTCTTCATCTCGTAGACGGAAACATCTAGGTTCTCTTAGTCAATATCGGGGTGTCGGGGGAGATTTCCTTTTATATTAATCCCGCTCATCGACATGGTGAGGATGCCGTGATATAACATAACTCGTATTGTCCCCATTAGAAGTATTAGAAGTATTGGAGGCATTGGATGAAGTTCGAAGTTATCCGTATATTATGTAACGGCGGGAAGGATCCGGTATGGATCCAAACCAATGGGAATCCATTTCTAAAGCCTCGTCTAGTATGCCTTTATCGAAGAGTCTTTCATTCTCATCATCTCGACAAAGTCCTCCCATTCCTCCTGATCGTGAGGTGTCATCACCCACGTACTCGACGCAATCTCATCAACTCCATAACCCGATCCTCGAAACGAGCAGCGTGCGAGTAGCCTGAATAATTGTATCTTGTTTTGCGTATCTGATCCACGACCCCTTTAGGTACGTAGAGAAGCGTGAGTCAGTACGTGACGAGCGTTGTCGTCTGGACATGGCTGGAAATGTGCGGGACTGACGACCTCTCGATATGGGTCTTCCAATTGAAGACCAAGCGCACAAAGGCGCGGACCATGTCAGGATGCATGACTGATCTCACATCGGTACCCGCCACCGACGGCATGAGGGATTTGATTGCGTAGGCAATATCGGCACAGCCTTCGCAGTACTCACTCACGGACCTCTCGCTTGGTCCTGTGCCCGAGCCTGTGTCGTGGCCCTCCCGATGAGAAGCCGGCAGTAAGCCTAATCCGGCATTGTAGATAGCTTCCTATGACACAGAACCGATGTAAGGGTTCGAAGTCGTGATGTGACTAGTTGGTGACTTATACACCAAGAAAATGGGCAAGCCAACAATAGAGGAGCAATAGATAATCTTCTCAGTCTAAAGAATGAATGCGAGTAGATCGACGCCTGAAGACGTTTGGATTGATCCCAGAAGTTGTCAGGAAAAGGAATTGTGTCGGTGAACCGTCGACTTATATATTCCGCCTTTAGTCAATCGTTTATATGAGCACATTTAGGCAAATATCTGCTCTCGGGCCTAGGAAGGCAAGTCCTGAGAGAGTTATATCTTTGAGAAAGATTGTATAGGTACCTATAGAGTTAGAGTTTGGGCATTGGTAAGTTAAGTGATAGTATAACTTCCAAACCCGAGCAGTTTATATGTCGGTATATCACTCATTTTGACTTTGCTCTAAGGAGTAATTAGAACCGTAACTTCTATATGAATCTCGTTGTTGCATCCCTATACTACCTATATATGAGCGAGTTTAATTTCGTTACGAGGCAAATGAGAAATCGGGAGGGGGCTTTGAACGAGGAAAAGGGGCTGGTTTGGAGTAGACCCTTTAATTGTTGATACATGCCATGAACGCAAACGCTAGATAGACTTTGGCAGTAATTGGAAAGCGCCTAGTATATTATTGACACGTATACCTGTTAATTAAGTCTATTACAACATGAATAGTGGTTGGTGCTGACTCACGATGACAATCAATGTATCTCATACCTATAGACATGCATAATGTAGTAAACATTCCCACACCGCTAATTGAACCAGAAAAAAACCGGGTATCTTTTAACCTAAATCTACCTATATCGTACCCTAACTGTCTTTTCATTGACCCTCGTCTTCATATAAGTGGCGATTGTGGCTCGCTACCTACTCTACATAAGCAGCGTGCCTGCGTGCGTTCGTAAATCCATGTGAAGGCCGTCATCTCGTGAGTGGACCTGTTCCCAAGTCCCATTCCGACAACCGGAGCGAAGCCAATCAATTGGTGTCGCAGAAGAGCCGGAGAACCCCAAATATGCGTACCTCCTTAAAATCAAAAAGAACTCGCCCAGCCGATATAGCCGTATAGCTTCCAGAGCTACCTCTTATCTTTCTATAATATGTATCGCGATTTTCCACGTAGATAATAAAAACATCGCTCTCGCCTCGTATATCGTAATCGCTTTCCGTACCTATTCTTGGTTGCCCTCATCCTTCCCCGAGAGGGATGTCAAGAAGAGGGATTCGATAACCAGAGCCAAGATTGTCAGTAACTAGTACAGAAACCCTCGCAGCAAGTCATAGACAGAATGTCTGACTCTTGTGCGCGCGGGGAAAGTACACGCAAGGCAAGAGGCGGGGCTATGTATTATGTTAAACAACAGCAACATCGAATTTGGGTATCATGGCCAATTCGCAAAATAGCAAAAATATGAAACAAATCCAACTTTTGCCCTGTCAGCTAATAGCGCCGCGCGTTACTCGAGCAGGGTTTCCAGCTACGACGGTGAATGGTGGTACATCCTGATGTCTTCGTTAAGCTCGTGTTCAAGTAAGGAGTCTCTGTTTAATCGGCTTACCTTAGTTACCACAGCTCCAGCGGCAACTGTTGCTCCTCTTCCAATCCTGACTCCGTAGAGAACTATGGCACCGCCCCCAATCCATACGTCCTCGTCGATGCAGATCGCGGCACCGATATGTGCACTCTTGCTGCCCTTACGCCTTTTGGGGTCCGTCTGTAACGTAGCACCAAAGAGACTGACGTTCGGACCGATGTAACTGTTTTCACCAATAATGACCTCCATGGGATCGATAATGGTACAATTCCGACCGATGAACACGTTGTTTCCAATCACAATGTTGTATCCATAGTCGCAGGTGAATGGTGCCTCAACAACTACTTCTTGCCCAACTCTTCCAACACGAGTAATGGCTGTCGAGTTTCGATCCATAAAGATTGGTTCCGTCGGGTTCAAAACTTCTCGGAAGAGGCGCGATCGTTCGGATGCTGATACACCAACATTGGGATTCGTGGAGTTGTTGAACCTGAAGCATGCTGCACTACATCTCTGCCTTTCGAGTACCAACTCCTCGTCAAAGGGGTAGTACAAATTCCCCGAAAGCATCTCCTCTTTCTGTGTTCGCTCCCTGCTAGGAGGGTAATGAGAATGTGACAGCGCGAGTTGTGCAGTTTCCTGAGGATTAGTTGCTGTAGTTGCAGATGGCGGAGGTGGGGGAGGAGGTGGCAGCGCAGACTGGGGTGGCGGACTGCTGCTTCGAGTTGGTGGGAGAACATTAATCTGAGGAAGCGAGTTCGGATGCGGTGTCTCATGTTCGGTCCTTGTGATGTCGTGCAACGGCGGTACTCTCTGGTAATCTTTATGGCGATCGACACTGCTTAACGGCGTTGGCAATTGTATGGTAGAGTTGGCACTAATTGGAGTAGGAAACATGTTTGTCGAGTTAGTATATGATATTGATGATAATTTATTGTTCTCTGGGCTCGAAGCGGATGGGGTCGGGGTGGGAAGGGTGGCGGAGGTCGCTTGTCGGCCGTCGTCTGGCACAATTGGCCGGCCCTGCACCGGTTCTATCCGGAGCGAGGGGCCACGATAAGCCTGGGTAGGTTGGTCACGTTTGGGAGGCGGCGGCGGTGCAATCGGATAACTACTCTGTTGCGGCATTCCGTAGGCTCCGGGAGGGACATAGCTAGGATCCTTAGATTCGAGAGGGACGGCGGCGGGCTTATTCTCCATCTTCGGATAACCTCGTTGATTGGGATATCCGTGGCATAAAAATCCACCTCGAACGCAATTAGTACCTGTTCCGTTCGTGAGTATATGATGCCTCAACTGTCGTTCTTAAAGAGGCTCACATTGCGGTTTCGTCTCATCACATTTCTTCTTTCTCTTCCGACACGTTAGGCAACTATATTTTTCGGTATGGAAAGCCGATGCCTCGCTCTTAGGTTCGAAGGTGGCTACGCACCAACGACACTTAAGAGGATGCAAGTTCGGCCACACCACACCTAGAAGTCAGCAATAGGCTCCAATTGGCAAGGTATTAAACAAGGATTGAAGGTCCCATACCCAGTCTTGGTCCTGTTACTAAAGTTGCGCTTCCTCTTCTTGGGGTCTGACTGGATTACCGAGTCTCCTTTCCGCTGCTCCGAGGTGTAAGAAGTACTACCATAAAGCACAGAGCTATCATCGCCGTCAGGACTTGTCGCCGAGTAATCGTGTTGGGAATCCATATGGGTGGTAGCTCTTCGAAGCACATCGCCAACCTGCTCGTCACTCGGTGATGGAACTACACTCGCAGAGCCTTGTCGGTCGTACGTACTGCGGTCGTCTGCATGGCTATGCCGCGGATACCATGAATCGTGATGGTCTCGACCTTCCTCACCATACTGCCTGTACTCTCGTTCTCGTTGCGTCGTAGAATATACATCACGTGACTCTGCTTGGGACGGTTGTTCCCGCTCACGACTAACCGGACCTTCTCTATGAGACTCGCTCGAATACGATCGCTTACGCTTGTGAGCCCCTTCAGCCTCCGGATAAATAGTGGGTTGGTAAGATGAACGATCAGGACTCGGACCAGACCAGTGCTCTCTTTGATTGGCGGAACTCTCTCCAACCTTTGGTTCCTGGGTAGTTATTTGGCGAAGAGACTGTTCCTCGGAGACTGCTCGTATCGACGTAGGGCTACTGCTAGGCCTCTCGACACCCTTTGGCTCACCTCCGTTTAAGGCCGTGAAGGTAGCCATATTTCGTCCAACAATATCTTCTGCCCAGCAATCTTGCGTGAGGTGCATAGGAACTCGATATGTGGACTTCTATTAGTTTGGTCGGAACGCAGTTGCTGTGCGATTGAACACTTTTAGTAGCCGCTGTAATTGGCACCCGAGACCCAGCAATCCAACACAACCAAGCCCTGTCGTGAGAGCGTGAAGAGCAATTGTCGATAAGGTCCGAGCTACAGCCGATGTATGTAACCTCCGTCAACGTTGTGGCTTAGTATAAAATAAAACTAGCCGAGAAGTCGTGACGAAAGCTGGAAAAGTAAGAGCTAAAAATCGTAAATTCGGCCAGAGATGATGACCCGCACAGCGGTCGCGATGCGGCCTGCTAAAACTTCCGAACTAGCGTTCCCGGAGGTCAGCACATTAATAAGAGCTAAGATATAGACTTTAGCTATACGCAATTCGGATCTCAAAGCAATGCGCTCGTCGTGGCGCAGAACAATGGGTGGGATCTGCACAACTCTTTTTTTGGACGGTGACGAACTTTCGAAGGCGGGTGCGCGGGGAGGCAATTTTGTACAAGCGAAGCGGGAGTGAGTGAACCGCACCTCTTTCTTATTGAATTTGGACTGCGTAATACGACTGTGACGTGCAAGGGCCGATGCGGTACGTCGTGTATTGCTGTGTTGCGGTGTAAGCAACAAGTTCGCAGGCAGCTGCGCCTAGGCGACTGTATGTCGCCTCAATCGCCTATCCTGCTTAAGTACCCCCCTACCCTATCCAAGAAATTGCCCGGTCTTTCTTTTCTAGTGATGGTTGATTTGAGCGTGTATACTCTTTTGCTTTGGGCTGCGTGTGGAAAAAACTCCAAACTATTATCGTGCGGTCCGGCCCACGATTGCTACTCGTCGAATTCGAACCAACTATATTGAGTTTCTCCCACCCGTTCCTTGTGCTAGGATCCTTGACCCTTATTCAATGCGTACACAAAAAAAGGACCAGCGCTTGGCGATTTAACGCGCGATTAATTTTTCTTCTTTGCCAGCTGTGGGAATGAATGGTTTTTGAATATCGTCTCTCCCTTCGTCAATGTCAAGTTAGAACCTCAAATGTCAATAGACTTTCTCTTCACCTCTCTTCTAATGCAACCGAGTCACCATGTAAAAAATAAAATGAGTGAAGGGAGATTAGGGAGAGAGTTAAAGGAAATAAGGTATACGATGGTGCAATAGAGCAATTGGGTTAACGGGTTAACAGTAATCAAGGTAGCATGTGGTAGTAGGTGGAGCGTAGGGGGAATATAAGAAAATATAAAGAAAACAAAATTATGTGGCTAGCCAGCACCAGGGCCTAGGCGGAGCGGGAAGTGATGTAAGGTAAGGATGGTAAGGATAGATAAAGTAAGACGGGTAGGTAGGTAAGTAGGTAAGTAAGGTGCAAGGTAGCTGGGGGTATGTGTGAAGGTGGATATAGGGCAGGTCTGTTAGCCAGGGCAAAGAGGCAAGAGCCATGTACATACAGGATACAGCTGGATACAGAATACCAGACTGGGCTGGACTGGTTGGGATCAGATATAGAGGTACGTATACGTATACAAATACATATATGTATGTATACCTATGTGTATGTATGTACGTAGGTATGTAAAATGGAAAATTGTACAATACAGCACTTTATAGGTAGAGTACCTTATCTAGCATGTAAAACATGCAGGGCAGCGAGAGTGGGAAAAGAAAATGAGTGAATGCAAGCAATTAAACGTGCGTAGTTGTAGTTGTAGTAGTAGTAGTTTGTAATTTGTCAATTTGTCAACAAGAGACGACGAAAAGAAACATGCCCCCCCAAAAAAGGATTTGATCACAACCTCGATGTTCCTCGGCGGGATGCCTAGATACTTTAGTACCTTAGAACGCAGAACGAGATCGTCGAACCCTGGCTAACCTGCCCCAATATTGGGCGGCATGGCGCTTGGAAGCTGTAGATACATACATCCCGTGAACTAGTATGTATTCGATGTACGAATAACTGCACATGTGGTATATAACTGGCTGTGCTGGTAAGCCGAAAGAACAAGAGGTACAACCGAACGAGGTACCTTGAACCTGACTAGGATTGTTGTGTGCGACGACAAGCCCATGAGAACTTGGAAGCGAGTCGAGGGAAACTTCGGCTTCTAGCAAGGATAGCAGGGGGATCCGCACCCACTTTAACTTAACATAGTGGTACCTTCTATTGTACCTCCGCTTGCGCTAGAATCTTAGACACTTTTTCCAATTCCGCGGTGGATCCCTGTTCGGATAGATTGTACCAGTGTACCTATTTAATAGCTTTAATACCTTTAATACCGTAAGGCGACATGAAAGATGACAATTACTTACATAAACCTATAGTACCTACATGACGAATCGTACCTACATGGCATACTTTGTTTCAATCTTGCACAGGTCTAGCCCTGCGCGTCTAGATAATACGTCTGGCGCTGTAGGTAATGATCATGATGATGAACATCGAATGTGCTGCGCTGTGCTGTACTGTGTTGTGCTGTATTAATGTGCTGTAATGTGCTGTGCTAGGTATGAGAATGGATGTACCAACAACTTCCATATGATATGTTAGGTTCTTTCGTTCCCTACCTTCTTCCTACCTTACGTAGTCTTTTTTTTCTTCTCTCTTTTGCTTCCCGCCGTTCTTCATGCGATGTTACCAAATCTGGGCTGGGTGGCACCGCAGGAGCATAATTCATCATCGAATACGACGAACGCCATGTATCTGACTCTAGAAGCGACGAACTTTGTCCGCTTTCTTTTCGAACAGGTACCTAGCCTTGCGGGGAATGTGCCATTATCCTGAACCAGCCTTAATGCATCGTGGCTAACTTGTGGTTTGTTGTCGTTAATGTTTCTACATCCAGAAACAGCCGTCGAGAAACATCGTCGACCTAATCGTGCGCTTACCGTTCCCCCCTCCTTAATGCCACCAACAGCTAGTAGCCCCTCTAACGTTGCACCGGAATTTCTCATCAATGCCATTGAGCTGTCCGATTCGCTGTCCCTCACCTCTTTTTGCGAACGTATGCTATGATAGGTTCAGTACTTTCGGCCCGCGACACATCTGTTGTCGTGATCGTCTTAGATATTACTGGCACCCGCGACGCGATGGTAAGGTGAGAGCATCGATGAATCAATAAAGGCCGTTTCTTGCGGCCTAGCCGCGGTTCGTGACCGCCAGGTCTCGTTATCCTAACCCACGACTGTTTGGGATCAAAATAGCACACACATACGCGTTGGTGGGCTTGGTAAATCTCAACAGGGATGCAGGAGAAGGCCATGCGATTGGGAGGATCTAGGTAGTTTGAAGGGTCCTCGATCTTGTAGAAGTCGGCGGGCGGCACAGCAAGGTGCAACGTCGATTCCACATTGGGTTTGGAATTCTGCCAATTCTTCTCGCCAAGTCTTGCGGCAGCACTGCTTCCAACCAGAAAAGGCCGACCCTGGAGCATTGCCGGCATGTGCGGTCAGAGGAGTTTGTGACTCTGGTTGTACTCCGTCCGCAGCCAATGGGCGCCTCGAGACAGGGATCTAGCTGTCATGCAATTTGGCGCGGGCGTGTGATGTCGAAAATGTCAAGGGCTCCCATTAGGGCGCAACGAATACCCGCGTCTAGAGCCGACAAGAAGTCATTGATTTGTTGCTAGCGCATGTGCTCGCCCCATCGTCACAAATGTCTCGTATTAGTTCACGAGTTACATCGATCTTTGACCCCGAGAGTTGAAACCTAAACCATGGGGGAAACATGGCGTACATGGCGTACATGGTAATAGAGAGACGAGGACGCGCTAATACGGCAGCAGGGAAGGCCTCTGCCTGGGTCATAGGGACTTCTCTACCAAACTAGTGATGTCGAGCCGAGAAGGCGGCGGTGCACCTTTGCGACACGGCCGCTTCTGCTGACGTAGGCATGCCAGTCATCATCTCGGGGGCTTGCTCGGTCAAGAAATAAGAAATAAGGCTACTTTCTTCACCAAGCAAACCGCCCGTCAAAAAAGAAATACGCAGATACACTGATACACTGATACGGTACCTCAGGTAAGTAATATTAACGCTGCCGGTCCTTCCCCTGGATCTTACTGCGACGTAATCGATCAGGGCGCTACACATGCTGGCATGCTTAGCTCCGGAAACTCTTCCATTTTGGAATTTAGTATATTGCCATGCACCCTGCCGGCCGGATGACACCCTTTGAACTGTGACTCGAAGAGCCCGTCGCGCACGGCACACACGGGAGCATCCCACACTCACAATCGGAGCCTGATGCAAAGGAAGCTTCAATTTGCTTTCGTCCGAAAAAGGGAAAAGAAAAAAAGGATACATGTAATAGGTATTCCTGCGAATATATCAGGCCCTTCAGCTAACAACCAGGTAAATCCTATGATTAAACCTAGAAGATAAATTTCAGCACGCTATAATAGCATTCGTCCCATTTATCGAACAACTTTACTTGCGTAAGTGCTAGGGTCGATGTTTATGACCCTAGCATTTTCTCAAAGGGTGTTTCTGAAAGTACTTCCCTGATGTGCTGTAGATTTTCGTGGGGCGAGCGTAAAGCGCTTGTCGCGAATCGTCCGGGAACCTTGGTCTTATGGGTTTGCCGCCGTTCAGGAAAGTGATCGGCTCCTAAGCGGCTTGCCATCGCTCATTGGTCCGACGCCACAGCTCCTAGCTTGGTTAGCTTGCGACAAGGGAAGCCAACTTCGTAGTTCGGACGAGACACACTAGATCAACCGCGTCCGCGCATAAAACTTATCTGGTATCTGATGGTCCGGGTTTCTTTTCTTAGAAATCGGCGGAACATTTCTCGGTTCGAGCTGCGACCCGCTTGGTAACCTTGGAACCTTGGAAGCCCGGCAGGACACAAAGTAAGAACTATTCGGTATTGCGACAAAGAGCCGTGTGCGCGCGACCTCGACACATCACTTAAGTAATTGAAGGATTCTCATGCGGCTATTTCCATCCCCGGTCTCCTTACATCAACCCCGATAAGGTTCGCTACTACCCCTCATGACACTAATACTAGAAAGCGGAGGTGGAAGTTCTCAAGGTTGCGTCAGGCTGACGGTGAAGGCTTATCCTTGGGGGAGGGGGTACAACGAGGCCAAAGTCGATAGAACTTTTTGTCTTCTGTAAATCAGCGATGCCCACAGGTTGCTCGGAGATCTGCACACGCTTTTTTCTTACCGTCTGTGCTTTGATTTCCTTGCCCACCTAGAAACTGCCCAGGTGTACACGTGAATACCTAGCCAACCTGGGCAGTATCTGCGACTATGAGAGGGTCCCCGGTCTACCAAGCCGAGACAACCGTTGGGGGCCATCGGCCTTTCCAGAGAGAAAAGGTGAAGGAGAGCAATTCCTATTAGGTCCAGAGCTGAATACGCCTCGTTCGATCGCGGTCAAGTTTCGGTCTGTTGGATGATTAATAACATCACAGAGTTACCTAGTACTACCCAGTAGGTAAACGTTGCTATCAATCCATCAGTCTGGTCAATCTGGTCTTGATGAAAGCCGACCCCATGGGACTTAGAATTGTATCCTAAGCAATATCGAAATCATACCATGCCAGAAGAGGTAGAGAGGTAAGAAAAGTGACACAGTCAAAGCGGGAAAAGGTCCGTTAATACCCCTGTTGAACGCTTAGCGTGGACCTGCAGGGTCACGTCCAACAGCCGGCCGTCATGTACAGCGTACTATATATGTAAGCGCGAGGCACGCCGGAGGCGGACCCGCGCTCTGACCACAATACTCTGAGATAACAAGGAAGGTCAAGCCCTGAAGGACCTCAAGGCAACAGGATAAAACTCGAGCAAACTGTAAATATCCCCGAATTTTAAGGATATTTTGAAGACTATTTTCGACTTTGCCACGTAGGGAGGCAGCCGAATAAATGACTTGTGCAAAAATAGACCCGACCGTGTGGTTTGGGGTCTTGAATTGTTAGTACGAGGTTGTGTAAGGGGTTAGTCTGCGAAGGATTTGACGATTTAGGATCGCCCGGGTTAATAGATATAGTACGGTGAGCTAGGTAGGTATGTGTGCCCACGTTCTAAGAAGATGGGATTCATACATACCGGTATAAAGATGGTAGCACATTGTTAGCCTGGGTCGTTTGTTGCGTTTTCCAGTTGTTATTTCGGTGTAATTAAATTACTTTTATTTTTATTTTTGGGAACCTAGTAGGTAATGGTTTGTTACCGAAAATTAAGCAAGGCTCGTAGTAATGTGACAAGTCAGAAGTCGCAGTCCACAAGTATAACCCACGACGCCCGAATGAGGGACAGCTAAATAGCACGTAGGCATTGTGTTTAGCGGCCTTGGCATCCTTGCAGTATGTAGGTAATTAACGGGTAACACGAAGATCAAATAGCGGTTGTGGACGTTGGCGCAGCACGATGAATTGATTATTAACAAGATGTTGGTGGATAGAACCCCTTGGAATATGGTGGGAACGTTGAATGATTAGAATTGTCCTTGAAAGATGCAATCTAACATCTCCGGAGTTAAGGTTCATCAATAACGGCAGGTTCAAGGCTAGCTGAAGTCAAGGTGATGTTTCCTATTCTATCTTGTGGCTTCAGGTTGCGATTGCCGTATCCATGGATGTACCTACCTCCTAGTAGTACATAATATGCTAGGTGGGTAGCGACCATCGACCATCAGTGATTCATATCTTGCTACCTTGCAGCTGTACAGTATCTATCTATTATGGCAGTCACATGATATATTCGCGCTAAACTCAATGCCTATTGTTTTGTTTAGTGACCTTAGTGATCCAGTTTAGATGGTCGCTTCAAAGGTCCCTCTAAACATAAACAACGACAAAAAGTCTTTAAGCCTCATTCTCGTGAATTTAAACTAGCCCTCACCAGAATTGCCTTCGTATCTCCTTTCTCTTTCTTATCGTTTTCTCCAACTTTAAAATTACAGGTGAGAAGTTCTAAAATTTGATTACCCCAGATCTCCATGGTATCTCTCTCAAATCAGAAACAGTCTACTACTTCTCCTTGATCCAACGACCAATGATAAGACGATATTACCACGAATAGCCGCCCGGCGATAACATCTAAGCGCCAGGGCATCACAACGTGTTCGAGAATCTTTCTTTCTCTCATGCACGTAATTGAACATCGCGGCATTATGGCGTCTTCTATCTCTTCTGTGCATACCGCCAACGTCTTTCTGCGAGTCGGGCGTTTAAATCTATTTCTGTCCTAGATCACTTGCAGAAAATCTACCCGTCCTACCCTCCTACTCTCTTCCGCGCTGCTGCTATCGTGATCCTTCCTGCAAGGCACCAAGGCGGCACTACGACCCTACATTCATGGTTGGAACCTCTAATCTGGGGAAAGCTTGAAGAACGGGCGTTTCGCCGCCTGCATGCGAGTTGTACCTTACCAGGCGGTACCAAGCGGCGTTGGGAGAGCGTCATCCCTACCTTCACCGACTTCCAGAAGCGCCTGCGAGCCTTGGAAGCGACCTTAGTTTATAAGTTGACTTTTGTCTAGGTCATTTGCGGCAATCATAGCCATATATTTGGAGAGCTCACCGTGCTTACGGCGGGTACCTTGACGCTGGCGCTCTAGGCTCCGAGGCTATACGCGAGACTCCCAACTGCTAGATGGCACACTGCACGTGTGCGCTCTGTTATCACATCACCTTTATTGGTGTACCTGGGGGTACAGGGCAGCGTTAAGGCTCGGGGCCCCAACGACCTTCAGATCGTCCTAGACTCCCTTGCGACCACGCCCCAGCTACCGCTCATGACGTATCCAGCTCGGGGATTTTTCGTACCACGAGGATCAGCTGGGGTACTTATTTTTAGGGAGGTTGCTAAATTAAGATATAGCCTCAATATGCAGCCGCTCGCGACTGCAAGCGTTAATTTAGACGTCACCTCTTTAAAAGAAACATCTCTGACTTCCTTGATTTCTAGAATATCCATGTATAAGATGCTTACCTTAGCCTATAACTTCCCTTGGCGCGCTTAAGTAAAGCCATCGTGATCGCGATCAAATCTCTAGACTGTTACCCTTGTCTCATTCATCGGTCCGTTTCCTAGCCAATAGAAACTATTAATCCCTCACTCGCTCCCAGCTATAGTCATCTGCTGTTTCAAGTTCTATATTTCCTTTTCACGTTACCACTTCGCGGCGGCTACATATCGCCAATAGGTTCTATGCTAGTCAATGGAAGAAAGGTCACCAATACGCAATCGAGTTTAAGTGGAATAACTTCTACTGAGATATTCACCGAAACTCTCACAGACACGTTTTGGACTTGGAGTGACTCAATGTCTCTTCGTCTCTCCTGATCAACTAAGTAGGACAAAGTCACTCCAGCCCCCTCAGCTCGGTGGGTATGACTTCCTACAGATCAGTCAATAACGTGGCAAAGAATGTAGAAACTCCATCCTTGCTAGCAGCCTTATGATGCTGAAAATAGACGATATTACAAGGCTGCTTATCATCCTCACAGTGTCTAAGAAGAAAAACCATCACTCGATGTCTAAAAAATATCAACGGCCCAAATTGCCCTTATTTAGATTTGCCACCATCTAAGAGATTACACGGAATAGGTTGGGTAGTATTGTGAGAACCTCTAGATATCCCTAATGGAGGACATAGCCGCTTTCAACGGTTACCCCTTTTTGGTGCTTACGATAACTTCAGATACTATCACTATCACCACCAATAGGGTGTTAACCACTCACATGTTCCAATATTCCAGGGATAAGTCAACCTTGGAATATACCATTATTTTCCGATGGCGTCTATTCTTTGTTGTACTACCAATGAAGGCCCTCACTTGTTATAAACCTAGGCTGTAAGAGCTCCTCCTAATTCTTTAGGACTTTGTTGAAGACGTTTCTAACGCTTGTTGAACAGGAGTCGCCCTAAAGAATAGATAGGTACCTACCCACTAGGCAACATAGGACTAATCTGGATATTACCTCATATACCCTGCAAGTTGGAGTAGACCATAGCTGTGCCATGGAGCTCGAGTAGAGACAACTTTCAGGAAAGCAGACCTAATGCTTTTAGGAGTAAACAACCCTGTATCAATATTCTAAGTGATGAATTCGTGAAGATTTTACATTAACATCTACGGATGACCTGGATTAATTCCTTCCAACCCATAATCATGGCTGGTGGCCTTCGAACTGCCGCCTAGGAAAAGGGGAGCAGAGGTAGCATATGCCCTCTATCGCCAGTGAAGCTATTTCGTAGTAATGAACAAATACCAAAACATAGACCGCACGCCAGTCACCAATGCTCTTTACATCTACTATAGTAACCACCGCTCCCCGAAGGTAGAATATTCTATCTTAGTTAAGCAGATGAATGATACAGACACCTACTCCCGGTAGCCTCACCTAGAACGTGTCCCCCTGACCAAGTCATCGACGACCAGAACACCCAGAAAATATCAGTATACCCATACCTAACACCTATCACGCAGTAACAAATAGAACGCAATCCACAAGCACAATAAAGCAACACGGAAACCATCGCATCTACCCAGTCACATCCAGCCGAACCAAACAAGTCAGAACTATCAATCAGAACAGGATATGTTTTCATAGCAATGCAATGTGTCGATTAAAGCCATCGCAGCCTCATTCATACATACACGTAGCCGGTATACAGGGGCATATCCACCCATATCCCCCATCCCCAACCACGAAGTTCCTAACAATAACCGACTACCCAGCATCGTAGTCATCTCCTCTCCCCATTCTCTGTTCGAATGCCGTACTTCATATGAATCGCACTCCCTCGCGGGACTTCATCTTGAACTGCTTGATTGGACTCATGTACTAACTCAGCACCTATCTAATACCACAGGCCGTCGATATCAACGCCGGTGCTGATGCAATATCTGTAGTGACCCTCACTTCTTCTGCCTCTTAGCGCTCTTATCACTGATGCCGCTCAGCACGCTTAAACTCCGCTTTCGCCCACTGCTACTTCCAGGTCTCGCACCCTTCTCCTTTTCCTCTGCGTTGAGCTGTTTCTTGACCACGTCTGCATCCGCATTCTCGCCGTTCGTACTTGGTGCGTCGCCATTCGTCTTGTCTTCTCCAGCACTAGCAGCAGCGTCTCCATTTGTTAAACCATCCTTATCCTTATCCTTCTCCCCTTTAATATCGCCATTAGTCTTCTCATCCGTCGACGGAACCTTCCCCTCCTTCCTATCCCGCTCAGCCTTTTTCGCCCTCTCTAGTCGAATCTCCGCATCCACCTTATCGTTAGTCTTTCTTAAGTCTAGCAGGGCCCCGATCGCACTGAGCAGCTTCTCCATCTCCTCGACGACGGCACGCGTCGGCATGTTTAATCTGCTCGGAATATCTAGCTCTGCCAACGTGTTCGTGATGCGCTGGTGCTGGGCGTTGCTCTTCGTCGTGAGTATCTTATTGATGCGCTCGTATCGGAAGGTTGGGCCAGATGGTAGCCTATCGTGATGCGAAACCCCGTATATTTGTTCTTCTTGTTCGGTGAGCTTCTTGCGCTCTGGTTGTGCACCCTTCTTCGTTGGACGTTCGGGTCGCTCACCCCCGCCAATCGAATCACGGTGCCCGGCGGTGACAGTAGAGGCGGCGATGCTCTCACGACGGGTTTCTGATATGGGCGTGGAGTTGGCAGGATGGGCGGAGGGATGTGCGGAAGCGGGCGTGTTGGCACCGTTGGCTTCCATAAGGGACTTGCGCTTCTTGGTCTTGTCCACATTCATAAGGTTCTGGAGCAAGGTCTGCAAGCCAGCGCTAGATTTGAAGGCATTGATGTCCTGGTCTTGGTGTGGGTAGTCCAGGCGGTTATACAGCTCGCGACGTTCTTGGTTTAGCTTCTCTTGACGAGCGAGGATCCTTCGCACTTCGATGAGTAGCATTTCCTCCTCTCGGGCCTCCTCGCTAGATCGAGATAACGCGTCTGCTGCGAATTTCTTGCGCTGTGCTTCTGAGTTCGGATTGAAATTGGCCATAACTTCATGCAAAGCAAATTCTGCTTGCGTCATGTATTGCACTGGTTTCTGGACTGCCATCATCTTCGCTGCTACTTCATAATATCGGGCTTTTAAATCTTCTAATGATCGCACCTTAGACGCGGGAACTACTGCGGTGTTAGGGTCAGTAGTCTCTCCTCCATCTCCGTTGATCACTTTCTCGGGCTTAGGTTGGTACTCGTAACGGTCCCATATGAGCGGCCATCGAAGATCAAAAAGTCTAGCAAGATCGAATAGATAATCCGTCTCGTCCTTCGTCCACTCGTCGCTCTTTAAGTTGGACTGGTACTGATCATCGCTGTACTGGGGAATATCGACCTGCACATTGAACTTGGCGAATCCCGAGTCCTCTAACTGTTCCGGTTTAGTCTCCACGTCGGCTCCATTCTCTCCACTTTGTCCTTCCTGAAGTCTTGTTTGATCTTCCGTCTGCTTTCTCCAGTGTCGTAGATGTAATGATTGGTCACCTCGCGCCGAGTTGCGGAAGGGTTGCAACTCCCATCGCGCAGCTGGTTTACGGCTTCCGAATCGTCGTTTCTTGAATGCGGATAGCTCCGGTACAATTGCGATAGGGTTATCACCTCCTAAGTTCTGCACTTCTCTTGCTAAACCCTTTAAATTCGTTCGCGGGGCACCAGTCTTAAGTTTTTTCGCGGGTCGCGAACCGCCATCGAGTGGTAGATTAAGCACGTCGCGTACGTCGTGCGAAGCCATGGTCGAGGTCAGCTAGCTTCCAGTGTATGTATTAAATGGGTTCGTGGCGTTTCACGAATATTGGAATGTAAACAGCGAAAGAGGTTGGAAGAGCAAAGTGCGGACTTGGAGTTGTTGAATGTATTAAATTAGGTATTGTAAATAAGTTCTAAATAATACATGGCGGGAAGCAAACATAAAAATCCCGATATAGTGGACGTGTTTGTGTGGGCGCGAGAATAGTGGGATTGATGGGTTCAAACGGTCGAGTACGCGGGTGGATGAAGCTGTATTGTCTTCGAAATTGAGGAACGCGGCGTGGATTTTGGTGGTGTAAAAAAGTTGAAGACGGAATTAATTGCACCGTCTGTATCAAAGGGCAGGGATCCTTCCACGATTTGTTCTATGCGGCACGTGATTGACGACCTGAAAAGATAGTGTTTATTATCGATAATGCTCCTTCCATCCAATGCAAGGCCGCTCCTTTCTAGGCGATGTTTAGCGTAAGTTAGCGCTATGCAATCCCTGCACAATACCTAACTGGTTCTTTTTTCGAACGTGGCACCTTGGACCTTGGACTTGGAATCCGCGAAAAGCTTCCTACCACCGCAACGACGGCGCTTAATAAACAACTAACGATCGCGACTTAGACCTCGAACCAACCTCGAATAACCCCGGGACAATCAATTGAGAAAGTGTTCGATCCAATCCATTAGCAACCTCATCCCAACCCGAGAAAATGAGGGCGCTACTCCCTCTCGCGATGCTGGGCTCCGTCGCCCAAGCGCTCTACTTCTTCATCGATGGCACGACACCGAAATGTTTCTTCGAGGAGCTGCCCAAGGACACACTCGTAGTCGGCCACTACAATGCTGAAGAATGGGACGACAACACGCGGTCGTGGTCTAAGCACGACGGCATCAGTATCTACATCTCCGTCGATGTTAGTCTCTTCCTCCCTTTACGCCCCTGATTAGGATATGCTTATCCCCTACTGTCATACTTCTTATCTATCTTCCCAAATCGTCATTGTTTGGCGAGGCGTAGGTAAATGCACTATACTAACAGATTACCCTCTCAGGAAATCTTCGACAACGACCACCGCGTAGTATCCCAACGAGGTTCCTCCTCAGGCCGGTTCACCTTCACCGCCGCTGACGCCGGCGAACACAAGATCTGCTTTACACCCTCGTCTTCCTCCGGTCGCCCGGGCTGGCTGTCCGCGCTCCAGCCTAACGGTGGTATCAAGCTGACCCTCGACTTGGCCATCGGTTCCTCCGAGATTGAGTCGACCGACAAGACCAAGTTGATGGACATCAGTCAGCGTGTGCGCGACCTCAACGCGCGACTATTGGATATCCGGCGCGAGCAGATCTTCCAACGGGTGAGTTCATTTCTACCTGTCCATTCTACCCCCAGCACCGACCCTTTCAAGATATTTCCCCTTTTCTCGGTGAAGGTAGATGGTAGACAGGGAGAAGAGAATGATTTCCCACTATCTACTTTACAGAGGATACACAAGCATAAAGATCTACGATGAATACAGCATTGAAAATTTCAAACTACCACATTCATAAAAATGACATCCTTACTAACCGCAACCCCAGGAACGCGAAGCCGAATTCAGAGACCAGTCCGAATCCACCAACTCGCGCGTCGTGCGATGGATGTTCATCCAGATCGTCGTGTTGGGCATCACCTGCGCCTGGCAGCTCTCGCATCTACGCTCCTTCTTCATCAAGCAGAAGCTCACCTAAACCCCCCATCTCCCATTTCACAACACCCCCACACACAACCTTCTCTCCCCTTTTAGTAATGAGCGATGGGAGGGGAGGTCACGATTTTGGCAGGGTAAAGGGGAGTTCTGGCTTTCTTCTCTACGTGTGTATGTATGTATGTACGGGCGAGAAATAAAAGGTTATCGATGTTAGACTATCTGCGACCATAATTAAACGTGATTAAAGTCATCGTGTAGAGGACAGACACCCAAGCCTTACTCGCCATCTACCTGGACAAGGCGTTGCATTTCGTAGCATCCACCAACCCCATGCTTACCTACCTACTACCATATGTACGTCGGAATTACTAATACTCAACTAACCTTACAAGCCGTCATACATACATATTTAACTTTCAACGGTCAAAGAGTCTTGCAACCGTTGGCAAGACAAAGTGAATTATAAACGTACAAAATAAACTACTATAGGTAGGGAATACCCTTATACAAGAACGAGAAACACGAGTATGTATGTATGTATATGTCTTTGGAGAATGCCTTTTATTAATACTAGAACTTCATGAATTTCCCAACGCCGCTAGGAGTTAATAAAGTGAGATAGGAAAGGGGAGGGGGCACCTTTTGCTAATACCTCCCCTTTTTCTCTCTAGCAAGCGTTGATTAACCTAAACAAAGGTAGGCACAAGAGGTTCAAGTCCCTTTTTTTCGAATCTGGGGGTCACCGATGCATTTATCTCTGGCATCGAAATCATTATCAAGTCTTTTTGCCCTATGTCCCACACTTCTACCAAACGCGAAACCTCGGTGCTTTATCGTGCACTTCGTCTGGGTAATTGACTTTCCCACTAATTGCCACACTCTGCCACTCAGCTCTCCTCCCATCTTCATATACTGGTTCTGCTTGATACACAACCCGAAACTCCAACTCCCAACCAACAACACGGGTTCTCCCCTCAACAACAGCTCTCCTTCTTTCTTATGTAATTATGAATGGTGTATAAGGGGACGGATAACAGGAAAAACGAAACCCGATCCCAATGCTCGCCAACGGTTACAAATCCCATAAGCGCCGCGCTGCGCTCTACTGATTAAACGGCCTGTATCTATCTCATGAAAACGAGAGTCGTGAAAGGAAAAAGTATTCGTTCATGTCTCCGGGTTAGCGCCAAGCCTGGATCCTAACGGGAATTCGTTGCATTCGATCGGTCGTCTTCCCAAGTCTCCTAAAGGGAAATTGTGGAAAATTGTTCCGCGAACAAAGGTGTGATGATTTTGAAGATGTTAATCCATGGTGTCGGGGAATTCGATGGTGCCTTAAACATATCTTAGTATGCCGTGTTGTCCAGGCTATGAAACCCGCCCTTCCTAAACCCGGACAACCATGATATGTAACGACACGCAGCAATTCAGATGGGGTGAGGTAAACACCCTGACCACGGAAGACCAGGAGAATGCATTAAAGGTAATAAGGTAGCGGAGGGAGCTTCAACCAGTAAAACGTCTCTAGTCTATACGAAATCGCTAACATGCCAGAATGGGAAAATATTTAACCTGGTATTCTATTAGTACGCATGGTTTAGGAGAGGGCATGGCATTGCCTTGACTAACCGCAGCATAGAACTTTCATGAACTTTTGGAATCCCGTCGGTTGAGGATCCGACGACCTTCCGTTGCCGGCCGCTGATGACCCCATGTTGGCCTGGGGCACCATCCTTGATTGTAAGTTTTGGTTGCTGTTCTGGAACTGGGCCTGAGTTGACGGGGTTGGTGTAGCCATATCCCGAAGACCCCCCACCGCGCTACCTCGCTGGGCTCCTATGGCGCCGGGGGCGTTTGGCCGGCGCTTGTCCGTCGGCCTGGCTGGAGACGGAGGTGGGGGCTGCGCGGCGTTTAAACGCTCGTGAGTAAGGCCGCCAGGTGTGTTGTTACGAGACTGGTTGTGTAATTCTCTCGCAGATATGCCCGGCTGCTTGTTCGGGTTGTGGTAAGGACCGGGCTTGTGCATGGCATCCCAACCCTTCGACGACTCCTTGGTGATCTTCATCCAGTCGTACTCGCCATCCTCCACCTCGCCAGTGTTCTTGAGAGCCTGGGTGAAAAGCTCACGCAGGTAGTCGTAATCGGGGGTGTCCTCGAAACCAAGGTTTCTCACGTAGGTTAGGTATTTGCTAAACTCTTCCGGGAAACCTTCGCATAGATCCTTGATTGGGGTTGTTTGCTTCTTCTCGCCAATCTTCTCGTACTTCTGCTTATTCGTCGCAGCCTTCAGACCTTGCCATGGTAAACCACCCCGTAGGAAGTACATGAATACATGACCAAGAGCCTCGAGATCATCACGCCGAGACTGCTCCCGTCCCAAATGAGTGTTGATACTCATGTAACGGGCAGTTCCAGATAAAGATTTTCGCTCTCGGTAAGGAATGTGCTGCTTCGTCTTCGGGTCTCGGTATTGCTTGGCCATACCGAAGTCGACTACATGGATCACATTGGCAGCCTTAGTTCCAGGACGCCCGATTAGGAAGTTATCGGGCTTAATATCTCGGTAGATGAGATTCTTCTCGTGGATGGTTTGCACACGCGAGAGCTAAGATTTAGTTTAGCACTAAACGTTATTAAAAATAGTAATTGGAGGAATGACAAACCATTTGTTTCGCTACCATCACCACTGTCTTGATTGAGAATCTCCGATTACAGTGATCGAAGAGGTCTTCCAACGAGGGACCGAGCAAATCTATGACTAGGATATTATGGAGACCTTCTTGGCCAAAATAATAGACATTAGGGATACCGGCTGCGAATGAAACCTGTCAGTTCTGTGATTCTTCAATAAGGCTGCGGGTTGTAGTAGACTTACGGCAGCCGACGAGAATCTTGTAGGTACGGTATTCATCTCGTAGTTGTGGCGCGTCGCTCTTTCGGGGTTCCTAGAAATGTCTTCAGTTAGAATAAGTCTTATCTTCATGGAGTATTATGGTAGTTTAATTGACCAAAAGGAGCGATTTCGCCGTGGTCAAATGAAAGGCTGCGAATGAAATGATCTAAATTGACTCACGAATTTGATAGCCACTTGTTGGTTATTTAATAGGTTGGTACCCTCAAAAATAACACCAAAAGAGCCTTCACCAATCTTCTTTCCTACTCGGTAATGGACACCGACGACATTTGACGACGAGGAAGCCATTGTGAATTGTCTGAGATGTCGAAGGTTTTCACCGGGCTACGAGTTAAGGACGACCAAAACGACGGAGCGAAGGAGAAAAAACACCACGGTCGGAAGGGAATTGCGGGTTGCGAGGAGCGAGTTGCAGGTTGGCAATCGTCGCTGGCGTCCGTCAGGAGTATCTAAGATACTCGAAAAAGTCGTCAGGAAAACCGAAAGCTCATCCCTCTCGAGTGTTGATGGATTGATTAGGACTCGAGGCTTGTCTCGCTGACGGATTTAGTCAATCCTTGCCAGATTATTGTTGGGTTGAATTGATCGGTCGGATGAATTGAATGGTAAGTAACTTGAGAAAGTGAAGATCAGAAAGGGAGGAATTTGGGGAGAAGCGGTCGGGGAACGGCAGTGGCTCCAAAAGTGGCTTAGGCGGGTCTTCTGGCGTACGGCTGGCCTGGGCTGGGTACTCTGGGTACATTCGTACTAGTCAAATTGCAGGTGTATTTTAGGCGGGGCAAATGTAATTATAGGTAGTGCTAGGGCCACACGAATCACTGCCACAGCAGAAACACCTTACTGAAAACAGAACGAGAAATGGCTGGGCATTGGGGCAATGGAGGGGCGAAGGCAGGAAAAAGGGTTGTCCGGGTCAGGGGTACAAATTCCAACAGAAAAATATCGGAAGTTGAAAATCCCATTCATTCTACGGTATCTTGAATTGATTTTATTATTTAGTGCAAGATACCCAGTAGTGATGTTTGTATGCATGAAGTAAGACTTGCTCAAACATCGAATATTTTGTATTGACTGAGAAGTGAAAGCATCCATACAGAGGAAGTTCGGTCGCGAATTCCTTAATAGTTGTCGGAGGAACTGTCTACGGGAAGGTAGGTACACTGGTACAGGTAGGTACAGGTATTCGCATGAGAAATAAAACTCAATACAACACCAATCTATGTACCTATCAGCAATCGGACAGCCCGTTAAATGCGATAAATCGTTAAATGAGTTTGACCCCTGAGTCCAGGTCCCTTAGCTTCTGGTCTAATTGTTCGCTATCCGGGAAAATCATTGGCGTTCCAGGTTTTCTAAATTTCCAATCAACAGCGAAAGAACAATAAACTACGATCGCTACAAATCGCTACAAACCGCTACAATTCAACCAATACGATTCGGAATAGGATCAAATAAGACAAGGTCATGAACCAGATTGCCACTTAGCTACCTGCTAGGTAATAGGTAACGAATCACTCCGCTTCGCTTGCCTCGATTTCCGGAATTTCCAGATATCCAACGCTAAGAAGACAACAAGCAACGCATTAATGATCTACCCTCGTCCACCAACAATATGCGAAAGGGATGTAAGATCCGGGTGATCTGAGCCAGACTTCGATAAAGATGCATTGAAGTTGCTGTGACAATTATGCACTCCAACTTAAAACTCTTTTCAATCGTCGCCTTCTTCTTCGCAACTCGACCCGACTAGCTAGCTTCTGATAATCTGATTCACCACCTACAGATCTGTATCATCCAACCGCGTAAGTCTTCCACGACTCGCCTAGGTAAAAATGAACAATAAACAAAGGACCGAAAGTCGCATCGAAGGGTCCAGATCGATGTTACATCCTACGAGTAGTAGTTTACCTAACAAAATCTATGCTAGCCCTGGCCGTCTTAGGAAGTCCGGTAATTGAAAACTGCAGTTGGCTAGATCTCTAACCATCTCCAGAAGCTTTCAAGAGCCAAGAGCTATATCAGCTCTATTATATATCCATAGGATTGAACCTAGGTACCTGCTGACTTCTGAGACTCCCAAGGTTGCACGTGAACCAAATTTCGCATATCTAGCACTTGTTCCCATCCGGACAGGCGGACAGACGGGCAGCGGGATAGTCGACCAAGAGTCACGAATCTCATTGATATCATAAAATTCCACGGTCCAATACCAATACAGCGGTTATCGCCGATCTTAGTGCTAATAGATTGAAATTCGATCGATCTATTTTGCCTGCCGAATGTTTTCCAGAAGTTTTGTTG